AGAAATATGAATAAAGTCATGCATATATATATATATATATTTTGCATAAGTCAGGATATTGTAGATCACAATATTAAGTGGTAATTTATTCTCATCCATATCTTGAAACAAGCTCTTTTTACATATAAACTATCGAGTAAAATGACATTATCAAATTTAATAAATAAATATATTATTCTCACAACCATTGACGATCATTGCATCAAACGCTTTTCTTACCTCATCAAATTTCTCCTCACAAACAATGACCGACCGTCAATATCCTATTTAGTTCATTGATTTGAGTTAAGATGCGATTTTATGTGAGAGCTTTTTATTGTCGTAAAAAAATTAGATGTTACTATTTCTGAAAACTTTTTACTGTAATAAAACTCGAATTCTAAACTTAAATTGGTGAAATAAACGGATGAACTATTTGGAAAAAGCATCCACTAGACCTCGTTCATTTCAGCGATTCGAGTTTAAAATTCAAGTTTTGTTACAGTAAAAAGCTCTCAGAAACAGTCACATCTAACTTTTTTACAACAGTAAAAAACTCTCACATAAAATTACATCACAACTTAAATTAAAAACTCGAATCAGCGAACTAAACGGGCCTAAGGCGCTGAAAGTTTGTAATATTTCTTGCACGCCCATTTGCTTGTACAGAGAAATCACAAAAGAATAACGTTTGGTTATACAGAAATCACAAAAGAAAGTGTTGGCAACACTTCTCAGCATCTGTGAGATCTGAATAGGAAATCGGATTTCATCATATGATGCAAATTACGATCAATTATTACAACCCAGAAAGCTATTCAAAATGGGAGAAATTGCGTCAAAAACTTGGAAAAAAAAAGGAAATTCTGAAAAGAGAAAAGAGAAAAGATTAAAAATACTTACTGGGTTAAGAGGTTAATGAAATTGAGCACACAACGCTTTCTCACTTCCAACTCTCGCAGATTGGCAAAATTCTGATTCTGATTTGATTTCGAAGAAAGATACAACAATATAAAAGGAGAAGAGCTAAAAAGATGATCCAGAAAAAAAAAAAAGAAAAAAAAAAACGATTTGATTTCAATAGTTAGAATTTGCTTCTTTCAATAGTTAGAATATAGAGGTACATTTAATTGACATGGTATGATAATGGCAACAGACAATTATTTTTGTAGTATTTTTGTTCTTTTTTTTGCACTCAAATGAAAACTGTTCTCCATAGCTATATTATTTATGATCGTTGAATTTTATAGTATTAAGTATATTTAGGCTCCGTTCATTTTACCGATTTGAGTTTAAAATTTAAGTTTTGTTACAGTAAAAAGCTCTTAAGAACAGTCACATTTAACTTTTTTACTATAGTAAAAAGCTCCTATATAAAATCACATCTCAATTTGAATTAAAAACTCGAATCAGAGAACTAAACGGACCCTTAGTATTTAAAAAGCATGTCAAGTCAACTTTTGGACTGCATGTCCAAATTTGTTAAAATAACCATAATAACAAAAGTTTTGATTTATTTTCTCCGGTGGCATTTAACATGGGATAATCTTTGAATGAGAATTTAAAATCTGCATGCATTTTCACATTTGTTACAAAAATTGCAATTTTTACATTTTTGGAAAAATAAATCCCATAAAATTCACTTTACTTCAAAATGAGGTAATCTATCCGTTCACTTCGTTGATTCGAGTTTGTAATTCGAGTTGAGATGTGATTTTATGTGAGAGCTTTTTACTGTAGTAAAAAAGTTAGATATGATTGTTTGTGAGAGATTTTTACTGTAGCAAAACTCGAATTGATAAAGTGAACGGAACATGAATATTGCTGCATCCTCATCTACAACAGGTCATTTCATCTTGTCGTCAGAAAACCTGACTCCAATATGGAAGGAGAGAGAAAAATCGAGAGGAATGATGGGAGAGACTGAGAGGGATGAAGAGAGAGGGACGAGAAAGAAATAACGGTTTTGTTTTTTGTTTTCCTTTTTCAGTTTTTTTTTGTTTTACTTTTTTTTACTCGTAATTAGTTTTTTTGAAAACTTATATATATATATATATATTTTTTAAATAATATTCATGAAGGATTTTATAGGATCTAATAAGAGTAATCTAATGTTAAAATGGTAATTACGATTTGTTTAGTTTCCAAATTTTTAAAATTATTAATTTTATAAGAAGGATCACACATGTAAAATCAAACACAATAAAGTAATACTTTTAAGCATTAATTAGAAGATTCTTATGCGTAACCGTTATAATGTATATTTTTTAAGAATCATAGTACCTCTCAATCACTTTCTTGATAATATGATTTCTATTGATTACAGTATACCAAACGCTTCTTTTTAACTTTTTCATTCTAAATTAAAAAAAAAATATACGTAGGTACATTTAAAATTTAATTTTTGTTTACAAAATATACTAAATTTTTTAATAATTATCAAAATATTTACAAATAAAAAATAAAAATAAATTAGTATTCTTTCAAAAAAAAAAAAGAAATTTAGTATTTATTTCATTGGTGTAGTTTTTCTTCTTTTAGGATTTTATTACTATTTCATCGTAACTATAAAGGTTGTACTAAAGTATGTTTATTTAAGTCAATACACATCTCTATGATAAATTTTTATAGAGAGCGTTTATTGACATCCATTTTTCTACTTTTCACACACATTCTTAAATCAACCCCAATTTTACTTATTACACTTCTCTTAAAATTTCAAAATTATCATATTAAAACTATTGTTTTATTGCTTTGTTCTATTTATTATCATATTAAATGAAGTTAAAATATGGATTTTAAAACATATAAATTTAAGAATCATGGGTAGAAAAGTAATTGTACTTCAAAGTGGTTAGTAATAATCAATATTTGTGTGACATGTAGTGATTTTATTAGAAACACTAACAGAATGAGCATTTTTGTTAACAATTCATAATTTTGGGGGAATGAATGTTACATTTGAAGATTGGAAGACAAATTGCTACATGAGTCATGGTTCAGGAAGAATTTTTATAATTATATAGTTTACCAAATAGGGTGTCAATAGACGTAGCCTTTTATATATAGTTTACCAAATACCTATATTTCTGCTTTCGGTTTTCACGACAATTAAAAAAAATAACAAACACCTACATGCCACTAATCACAACAACAATTTAAAAAAAAAAAATATAGCAAACATCTACATGCCACTAATCACAACAACTTTTGACTAATAACATAACTTTTAAAATTTTTAACAGCACAATAATATCAATCGACCCATTATCTATTTTAGTTAGATCTAGAGATGACAACAAGACAAGTTTGTGGCAGTTCTTCTCACCGAACCGGCTCATGGAAAAAAATACTCACCTCGTTAACCCGCGTAAGTTAGCAAGGATGAGGCTTTTCTCGTCATGGGTTTGAGGTACTTACGAATACTTTCCCCATGTTTGGTTCAGCTATTCTAACCAAATCATTGAATTCATATTGGGCTGAAAAGTTTAAATTAGTATTTGATTTAGAAATTAGGAGGGCCATTCAAACCACCAATTACAATTTTAATTATTAATTTTAAAATTTACCACCTCATAAATTCAATAATCAGTTCATTCACAATTATTTTTTGCTCTATCTCTCTCTTCAACTTCAAATTTAAAAAAATTTCATAACTTTTTTATTTTAAATTCAATTGAGATTATTTTTTTTCAATGTGTTTATAATAAATAGAGGAACAAATCATCATCCACATTGCGTATTTAAATACTTCATTTACATTAATAAAGAGATTTTATAAGATTTATTGTAAAACTCTAATACATATGTAAATACCTATTCAAATTGTAGTTCAAATTATGACAATTTGAATTTCTATAGTTTTTATCATCACTTTCTGTCCATGATGTACCCACATTCAAGTTAAAATCAAGTTCAAACAAAATGATGATACACGAGTTTATGAAGGCAACTTTTTAACGTTATGCTGATCAAGTGCTTGCCTTCCAAATATAATTTTTGTCTTGCGACTTCTCCATTTGTAAGGTATATAAGTAATAACCCTTATCGTTTGTTCTTTTAGAGTAAAATTTTAAAAAAATTTGAATTCAAGTTATAATTTTATTTAAGTTTATATTTGTTTGTAAAATTTGAGTTAAATTTTTGTCTTCCGACTTCTCCATTTGTAAGGTATATAAGTAGTAACCCTTAGAGCTTGTTCTTTTAGAGTAAAATTTTAAAAAAGTTTGAATTCAAGTTACAATTTTATTAAGTTCATGTTCATTTGTAAAATTTGAGTTTGAATTTAAGTTTTAACTTGAGTTTGGGGCTAAAATCTGAGTTCAAATTTTCTCTTCAACTCAAGTTTTTAAACTCAAACTCAAGTTAATGAACAATATTTTTTTTGTTCTTAAAAACGTCATAACTTTTTCGTTTTAATTCCGATTGAGATGATTTTTTTCTATGCGTTCACAACGAAGAGACGAATAAAACGTCATCCATATACTCTATTAAAATTTTTCATCACTATTAAGTTTTTATTAAAATACTATCTAAATATAAATTCAAATTTTGACCCACTCAAACACAAATTCAAATAGATTCTCAATTCAAATCATAACTCAAATGTGCACATTCAAACACAAACTCAAGTTACAACTTCAACTCAAATTACAATTTAAATTCAACTCAAAATCTACACTCAAATTACCATAACTCAAAAATATAACTAAATAAGCTCTTATTCTTTTAGAATTTTGTCTTGCGACTTTTCACTTAAAACTTTTGTTCATTCTACAAATTTAAATTTTTAATTTTTAATTTTATAATTAAAAATTCTCAATAAATATTATAGTAAAAACTCTAAGGTCCCGTTTATTTTGCCGATTCGAGTTTAGAATTCGAGTTTTGTTACAGTAAAAAACTCTCAGAAATAATCACATCTAACTTTTTTGCTACAGTAAAAAGTTCTTAAACAAAATCACATCTCAACTTAAATTACAAACTCGAATCAGCGAAGTAAATGGGAAAAAAATATTACATCTTAATTTAAATTGAAAATTCAAATCTGCCGACCGAAGTTCACCGAAATTTCACAAAGAACCCGACTCAAAGAAAGAAGAACCGTCCATCGAACTCCGGCCACCGCCAATCTCTCCTTCCTCCACTCAGCCGCGCTCCCTTCTCGCCCTCTGTCGCGCTCTCCGCCCACACTCGCTGTCCTGCAACCCATCCGCCGCACACTTGAAGAAAGGCGCTTCAAGTCCACATCTGAGCAGGTTAGTTTATTCTTTGTTCTAATGAGTTCTAAACTGAAAAATGTTAGGAAATGGTTAAGGTAGAGAATTTTGAAAACTATTTTTGCGTGACGAAAACGGTTTAATCGCCAGCTTGTTTGGAAGAATTCTGAGATTTTCCTAGCGTGGATCCCATGTCTGCAATATGTTTGATTATATGTCCAAGTGAAATTAATACACTTTGATGTATCTAACACGACTCTTTGGTATATCTTTTTATATTTCAGGTGTGGAAAAGTTATGATGGTTAATATATTGGTAAAAAATGGTCTCTTCATGTAGTGTGGTCTTAAAAGCTTCTCATTGGTAATGGTAATGGCGTTAAAGTCACTGTCCTTGCCCTTCTCACCCCAAAGAGAATGGCCTGTAAATTTCCTTAATTCCGAATTCCTCCCTAGGAAGCATACTTTTTGTAATATTAACAAACCTCGTGAGAAAAGTAGAATCCTCAGAGATGTCTCTGTTTCAATTTCGTGTTCATCCATTAAAACGGTTCGAAGCCCGTCTCTAGACAGGCACATTGTGAAGCAAAACAAGATTCGGTTTGTTCAAAAGCTGAAAACACTGCTCTTGTCTAAACCAAAGCACTACATACCTCTGCATATTCTTTACAAATGCCGATCTTACCTTTCGCTCTCAACGCCCAAGTCGATTCTCTCAATGATCCGTCGTTACCCTTCCATATTCGAGGTCTTCTCGATTCCATGGCCGCCAATGCCACTCAACGCCACAAAGTTGTACCCTCAACTTTGTGTCCGCCTGACCCCAGCTGCTGCAGCCCTTGCTGCTCAGGAGTTGGACTACAAAGCGGCCATCTCAGATACCTTGGCAGCCAAACTTCAGAAACTACTCATGCTTTCTTCTCACCAGCGATTACTTTTGTCGAAACTGGTTCATCTTGCTCAAGATCTTGGTCTTCCGCCTAATTTTCGATCTCGGTTGTGCAATGACCATCCAGATAAGTTCAAGACTGTTGACACCTCATACGGCCGGGCACTTGAACTCGTCTTTTGGGACACAAACTTGGTAAAGACCTTACCATCTCCAGAGGTTCACTCACTTGGGTTGATAGTAGAGAGGCCTTTGAAGTTCAAGCAATTGCGACTGAGAAAAGGATTGAATTTAAAGCGACGTCATCAGGACTTTCTGCTTAGGTTTGGAGAAATTCCAGATATTTGTCCTTATAAAACTACTGCTGCGGAGTTACAAAAAGAGTCCATTGAGGCGGAGAAGAGGGCTTGTTCAGTGGTGAGAGAGGTGCTGGGGATGACAATTGAGAAGAGGACTTTAATTGATCACTTGACTCACTTCAGGAAGGAGTTTGGTCTGCCTAACAAGTTGAGAGGGCTGATTGTGCGGCACCCGGAGTTATTCTATGTGAGCTTGAAAGGGCAGAGGGATTCGGTCCTCTTGGTGGAGGGGTTCGATGAAAAGGGCAGGCTTCTGGAGAAGGATAAATCTTTGCAGATAAGAGAAAAGTTGATGGAGTTGGTTAGAGAGGGTAAGAGAATAAGAAGAGAGAAGAGGAGGGCTCGAACTAATACTGCAGAAGTCGATGATATTAATGATACCATAGTTAATTTCTGCGAGACTGATGATGATTACGATAATTATGATGTCGGTTTCGAGAATTTGTTCGAATCGGAATGTTCAGATTTGGAGGATGATCATGATGAGAACGGCGAGCTTTTGTCCTACAGGGACAATGCAGAGTTTTGGACTGCGGATGTAGAGCCTTTCCTCAATGGCCAGGCTGAACAATCTTTGGAGCCCTGGTAGGCATTAGTATGCTAAATACGTACCCTATAGATAAATCATGCGAGAGACCAACTTGTAAAAGACAACAGTATCCAAAGTAACACCTTTGATGTTCATAAGGGAAATAGTTATTTAGTATTGTACCCGTATAATCGATAAAATATATATGTAAGCAATTTATATGTATCAATTTTTTTTTTTTTTCAATAACATCTTTAACTAGGGCTGCTAAAGGGTGGGAATAAGTATATCCCTGCCTACTTTCAAAAGAAAGAAAGAAAAAAAAAACCTTGTTTATTTCACCGATTTGAGTTTTTAATTTTAAATTTGTTACAGTTAAAAGCTCTCACAAAAAATTACATTTAATTTTTTCTGTTACAATAAAAAATTCTTACAAAAAATTACCTCTCAGCTTAAATTTAAAACTCAAATTAACGAATTGAACGAAGCCAAAATATATCCCTGTCTCAACCCTTTTTCTTTTATTGTTTTTGTCCCACACCCAGTTTTAGGCATCCCCCAGGGCCTCCCCACAAGGGTTGAGCAATTTCGGGGCCTTTTTTCACGTTCTTGTTTTATTTATTTATTTATTTACATCCGTTGGGAGTAAGTCTTGATTCTTGAACTTGGTTTGTTCCTTAGAAATAGATTTTTCAATTATAGTTCTTACCTAGGATGATAACTTGAATAGTATTTCTGTTGAGAATACAACAATATTTGTTATTGACAGAAGAATATTGTCTTCAGAATTGCCGCTTGGTTTTTAAACATCAACATTGACAGAGAGAAGTAACGTTGTGTTTTATATGAGTTGAAGCTGAAATTATTGAACAATTTTTTAACTGCCAAATTGCAAGATTGAGGGTGGATGAGAAATAAAATGGTATTAATGGTGTTGAGTAGGGATGGGTGTGGCTGGGCTCGGAGGCGAGTGGGACACGAGATGGGCGGCGGGTGGCGGAGTTCGGAATAAAGTTGGGCCGTGTTAGAAAAAGCCTTGCGAAGGCGAGTTTCAACGATGAGAATGGAGATGGTCGTTGGATTTTTTTTTTTTTGGGGAGGGGGGGGAAGAGGTTTTCAATTTTTTTATTAATTCTTTTTTTTTTGAAATTCAGTTTTTATTTACTTTTTTTATCTTTTTCTTATTTAATTATTTTTACAGATTTAATTAGAATTTAATAGCTTTAGTTAATTTTTAATAGCATGACACATCATCAATCTATTAAGGAGTATACACGGTAAAAGATGAATGTGATATTTTGAACTGTTTTTTATATATTAGGGGATATTTTAAACTGTTTTTAAGTCACGAGAGTAATTTGAAACATGATAGTAAATGGGTTAGGTTGGTGTGAGGTAATATATATTTTTGTTGTTGTAATAACTGAGAAAATCTCAGACTTTAAATAATATAATTTATGTATTTAAGTCAAGGATTTTTCTAGAAAATATTATGTTATATTTTGTGGCTGAAGAATTTATGAAATTAATATCAGTATTCTTAAATTATGTAGCAGATTTCATGTTAAGTTCATGTTTTACGATCTAGTAAATTTGATCGATAAATTCTCACCGTAATCTAAGGCGGACGAATTTTTAGTACATATATAGTTTGAGAATCTTGATTTCAAGAATCTTCAAGTACAACACGATGTTAGTAGCGTATCGAAAAATACTCTGATATTTAAGAAAAGAAGAAAAAATCGTTTATTGCCGGACAACTAGTTTGAAGTCACAAGAAAAATATCTGTAGTAGAAGGGTACAATGTGAGCTCGGGAGTTGACACCGTCAGAAACAATGTCATTCCCAAAATATAATGCAGAAAAGTTAAATTTAGAATATGTTCAGTCTAGAATTAATTTCAAGACTTGAAACAGTTCAAAATATTACGCGAGTAAGAATTTAATGTGATATCAAAGTAGTCAGAGATTAATATTGAACTGTAAATAAGCAATAGAAAAAGAACTGTCAGAAATTGAAACTTCCTGTCAGCTAAGTACTTTTTTACAGTCAGTATAATTTTTATCTATTGCAAGAGAAACTTAAGAGATAAGAGAAAAGTACAAGGGGTATGTTAAAATTTGGTTTGATGAGATGTCATTTGATGGTGGAAGGTGAAGAGAAATCATGACATATGTGATTTGATGGTGGAAGGTGAAGATAAATCATGACATTTTTCCAACTCTTTTTTCTCATTTGGCCGGCCAAGCTTAAGGTGTTTTAAGCAAAATTTTAATTAATTAAGTTAGACACAAATACTTAATTAAAAGCTAAGAGGAGATTAAGCAAAGGGCTATAAATACTAGATAAATAGTGTACGCAATATTTTTCTCTTATTTGCTCATTTGTCTCTCTTTTTCTAATAAACAAAAAACCGGCCCTATCTCTCTCTCTTATGCTCTCTTTTAAAATTTTCTTCTACTCCCTTAAACACAAATACTAGCATAAGATCAAGAAGGAGAAGGAGGATCAAAGTGTTCTAGGAGGAGCTTAACTAATGATTTTTTTTTCCTTAAGGGTATAAACTCTAAAACCTTTATCTTCTATTTTCCTTTCTAACAAAGTTTAAGTTTGAGAATCCATTGATGTAATTTGTGATTCTCGAGGAAATAAATTTGTAATAAGGGTGTGTGAGTTTTATGGTGGTTTGGTGAGTTTTTAGGTTAATTTGATTAGTATTATGTGGTATATTTGTGTTTGGTATAAATTTGCTTATTTCGATTAGAGATAAAAAAATTTTAGTTACGTTGAACGCGAAAATGAGGATCCTAGAGCAAGATTTTTCAATCATTATAAGGTTAAACTTATAGTTCTCGATGTTTTGAACGTTTTTCTATGACTGTGACTAGACCCAGTTTTAACTCTAAATGCATGTTTTAAGTCATTTTTCAAAAACAGTGCATGCTGTCCAAAACAGTTTCAAAAAAACTGGCAGCCACTATTTTCAGCCAAATGAGGCCTTTAGAAGCTGAATATCATCTTTCTCTACAAACAATAATTTTAGATCTCAATGAGTTGAAGAATTGTCGTGAAGAACAGATTTTCAAAATCCCACTCCAAGATGTAGTAAAGTGCATATTTCAGAAGCTGCACAGTTTTAACTGAATAAAACTTATACAATTTTGATTTTTAACAAAAGTTTATCAAAGAACCCAAGCTGTGACTTTAGTGAAATACTATGGTTTTAGACCTCGCTTGAACGAGGAATAGTCATGAAGAAAGATTTCAAAAAAAAGGTTTCTAAAACATAGTTTCACAATGGTTTACAAACTAACCGTAAAATGACTTGTGGAATAGTTTCAGAAGTCAGTATTCAAAAGAGAATTTATTTAGAACTGATAATGGGATTTTAGTACTTGTAACTAAATAAGTGAATAATCGATTTTATGAAAATCAAATAATAATTTTTTTAACAAACCTTAATAGTTTTCGAGTGAAACACCCAAACGGGAATTTACGAGCTCAATATGTTAGACCCTTAGAATTACAAAGATTAGATACGGGTCCAACGCTAGAATTACTTCAAGAACTCCCGCTCAAATCTAAATTTCCACGGTCTAGAGTTAGAGTGCCTTTATTAAGTCTTTAGGCCAAATTGGGCCTTAATGATATAACAAGTCCAATAAGGTAAATTATGGAGAATAAGCTGCTAGATTGGATAATTGATTTTTCAATCTAGGCTAGTGGATGTTAAGGGCAATTAAGGAAAATAAGATTTTGAGGATTTAATAAATTGATCCTTATAGTAAATTATCATTCAGTAAAGAAAAGGAATACATTCCTTAGGTAAAGGGTTAGATTTCCTTCATAAGTTGCTAAAATAGAATAGCAAACGACAAATAATCTCTCACTCTCAATGGGGGTTCATTTTCTTGAAAACTTTCTTCACGAATATTTCCATTAAAATGAGATCTAACACCATAGTATTTTACTGAAATCACATATCGGGTTCTTTGATAAACTTTTGTTAAAAACCAACATTGTGTTAGTTTTTATTTTAATTAAAACTGTGCAGTTTCTGAAATCTTTATTTTACTGCATCTTAGAGTCAGATTTTGAAAATATATTCTTCATGACAATTCTTCATCTCATCGGGATCTAAAATTTTTGTTTTCGGAGAAAGCTGAAATTCAGCCTCGTTTGGCTGAAATAGTGGCTGCCAGTTTTTTTTTTCGAAACTGTTTTGGACAGCCTGTACCGTTTTTTAAAAATGGCTTAAAACTTGCATTTAAAGTCAAAACTGAGTTTTACCATAGTCACAGAAAAACGTTCAAAACATCGAGAACTATACATTCATGTTTTGAAACACTGAACAATCCCGCTCTAGGGTCTTCATTTTCAGGTTCAAAGTGACCGGAAAATTTTTCCTCTAACCCAAAATAAGCAACTTAAACCAAACATAAGCATACCACATAATACTAATCAAACTAACCTCAAAACTCACCAAACCACTGTAAAACTCACATACCTTTATTACAATCATAGCATTAAAGGAACCACAAATTACATCCATAATTTCAAGCTTAAGGTTAGCTAGAAAAATAATGGAGAGTTCAAGAATTTACCCTTGAAGAACTCTCTCTTGAAAGTCTTTGTAATCCTCCTATTCTCCTTCAACTTAAACTAGATTTGTGGTGAGAAATATGGAGACTTAGTACGCAAGGTAGAATGAGGCTTGATTTTTGGTGAGGGAAGAATAGAGAAAGTTTTGAATACTTGGAGCTTTGTGAAGGACCGGTTTTTGGCAAAGGGAGAATGGAAGAAAAAAAAATGAAGGAGACTTATGCTATGTTTGGTAGGAAGGAAAGAAAATAGGACAGAAAGGAAATATTGAAGTGATGAAAAATAGCAATGATGGAAAGGAAATTGATTTTCTTTTATGTTGTTTGGTATGAGAAGATGGAAAGAAAATGAGCTTACCTTCACTTGTTTGGTATTGGAAGTTTAATTTGGAGGAAAGAAAAAATCTTACTCGTAAATTACTTTTATACCCTTACATTTTTTGCTTGGATGTTGATGGAGAAAATGGTAGTTTAGTAACTTTACTCACTTTAATGAGTTGTCCCCATTTTCCATCTCATTTTCTGCCCACTTGTGGAAAGAAAAAAAAATGGTGGGGCCCACATGTATTATTTTCCACTCAATTTTCTCTTCCTTTCTCTTTTCTCTCCTACCAAACAACCTACATTTTCATTTTCTCTCCCAAAATCTCTCTACCTTCTTCCTTCCTTCTACTTTTCTTTCCTACCAAACATACTCTTAATGCAAGTGGCCGGTTTTGATGTTTCAAAAGAGAAGTGATGTAAACCTTCTTGTTAAATAGTTGATTTGATTCATCTCATCATGAAGTCTTTTAGCACACTCAACTAACTAAAATTTTTGCTTAAAATCCCTTAACATGGCCGGCCAAGATGAGAGAAAAGAGTGAAAAAGAATGTCATGATTTCTCTTCACCTTCCACCATCAAATCACATCTCATCTAACCAAATTTTAACCTACCCCTTGTACTTTTGTCTCATATCTTAAGTTTTCCTTGAAACAGATAAAAATTATACTGACTGTAAGGAAATACTTAGCCGACAGGAAATTTTAGTTTCTGACGGTTCCTTTTCTATTGCTTATTTACAGTTCAATATTAATATTCGACTACTTCGATATCACATTAAATTCTTACTCGCGCAATATTTCGAGTCTTAAAATTTATTTTAGATTAAATAAATTCTAAACTTAAATTTTTGCATTATATCCCAGGAATGACATTGTTTCTGACGGTGTCAACTCCCGAGCTCACATTGTACCATTCTACCATAAGTATTTATCTTGGATCTTCAACCTAACTGTCCGGCAATTAAGGATTTTCTCTTCTTTTAAAATGTCAGAGCGTTTTTATACGCTGCTAACATCGTGTTGTGTTTGGAGATTCTTGAAATTAAGGCCTCGTTCATTTCACCGATTCGAGTTTTCAATTTTAGGTTTTCACAGTAAAAAGCTCTCAGAAAATGTCACATTAACTTTTTCTGCTACAATGAAAAGCTCTCAGAAAATATTACATTTCAACTCGAATTGAAAGCCCGAATCCGCGAAGTGAACGAGACCTAAGAGTCTCAAACTGCATATGTACTGAAAATTCTTCCATCTTAAAGTACGGTAAAAATTTATCGATCGAATTTACTTAATCGTTAATCATGAACTTAGCATGAAATTTGCTACAGAATTTAAGAATACAAATATTAATTTTATAAATCCTTCAATCACAAAATATAACATAATATTTTTTTAAAAAAAATTTAATTTAAATAAATAAATTTTATTATTTAAAATTTAAAATTTTCTCATCATTACAATATTTTCCTTTCAAATTGTCAAACAGACATAAATGTAGGTGCCATTTCTGACTCTACAACCAATCCAGGCAAGAACATCAAACCAATTATTGATGCTGACCGGCAGCGAAACCGAAAAGGAAAGAGAGAAATGGAAAAGTAAATAGACCGGTAATATATTTAAAATTTTATTTAATTTATTAATTTAAGTTAAGATTAAATTTTATATAAGAATTTTTTTAATATAAAATAAATATAATTATTTTAAAAATATTTTATTATATAATAAAATCTAAATTTTAAATTCAAATCAATGAACGAGACTTCCAACATTCACACGAAAGAAAAACGAAATTTCTACCAGTTTTCCTATCTCCTACACCTTTAGAAAGTCCTTCCTCACGTTTTGAGCTACAATTGTCAACACACCTCAATTTCATGGAACCAGACCCAGCACACTAGTTTCCACCCTCATGTTTCTAGAGAATAACACACACACACACACACAAAAAAAAAAAAAAAAAAAAAAAAAAAAAAAAAAAAAAATCAACCTTCTGAATTCATCAATTAGATTCATCTAAGCAAAAGCTGAGTGATAATTCTCTGAGATTCAGACAACATATTTCTGAACTACTTTTCTTGGCTTTTTGTTTGTTTGTTTGTTTTTTAATCTTTTCTAGTCCCTTGTGTGAAGAACACCATGGCAGCAGAAGTTGTGGGTGGAGCTTTTCTCTCTGCTTCTCTTCAGGTTTTGCTTGATAGGTTGGCTTCTCAGGAGGTCGTTGACTTCATTCGGGGGAAAAAACTCGACGAGGGGATGCTCAAGAAGCTGAAAATTAAGCTTTTATCCGCTAATGCAGTGCTGAATGATACCGAGGAGATGCAAATGAAAAATCAATCTGTGAAAGAGTGGCTTGATGAGCTCAAGGAGGCAATTTTTGATGCAGAAGACTTGATGGCTGAGATTAACGCCGAAGCTTTGCGGTGCAAGCTAGAAGGTGAAGGCGGCACAAGTCAGGTACTGAAACTCCCCACAACTTCATTCGTTGCATTTGGCAAAGCAATAGAATCTAAGATGGCGGATATCCTTGATAGATTAGAATATGTTTTGGCACAAAAATCTCTTCTGGGTTTGGAAAATTCTGTACAAAACAGACCTCTACGTAGATTGCCTGCAACTTCTTTGGTAGAAGAATCTGGTGTTTATGGTAGGGACACTGAGAAAGAAGATATTATCAGTTTGTTGATATCGGATGATGTTAATAGTGACAAGGTATCAGTGATTCCGATCGCGGGTATGGGCGGGATTGGAAAGACCACTCTTGCTCAAGTTGCTTATAATGATGATAGAGTGACAGAACATTTTGATCTTAGAGTGTGGGTTTTTGTATCTGCTGAATTTGATGTTTTTGCGATAACGAAAACCATCTTTGAGGCGGTCACCTGTCAAACATGTGGTATGCAAGACCTAAATAAGCTTCAAGTTGAATTGAAAAAGGCTTTGAATGGGAAGAAGTTTCTTTTTGTTCATGATGATGTGTGGAACACCAATTACGAATATTGGAATCTCTTAAAGCGTCCTTTTGAACTCGGAGCACGCGGAAGCAAAATTATTGTGACGACTCGCAATGAAAGAGTTGCATCAATGATGGGTACAGTTCCGACTTATCGTCTACGAGCAATATCCGATGAAGATTGTTGGAGGGTATTTGCAAAACATGCTTTCAACAATGCAGGCTTAGGCGCGCATCTTGGTCTGGAAGAAATTGGCAGAAAAATCGTTAAAAAGTGCAGAGGCCTTCCTTTAGCAGCAAAGTCCCTTGGTGGTCTTTTGCGATGTGAATTGAGTTATGAAAAATGGGAAAGAATACTAAAGAGCGATGTATGGGAGTTGTCTGATGAAGAGAATGCCATTCTTCCATCTCTGTGGTTAAGTTACTACGATCTTCCATCACATCTGAAGCGATGTTTTGCTTATTGCTCAATATTTCCCAAGGATTATGAATTTTCTAAAGCAGAATTAGTTTCCTTGTGGATGGCAGAAGAACTTTTGCTTCCTCAAAAAAAGAAAAGGATTGAAGAAGTTGGGGAGGAGTATTTCGAGGTTCTAATATCAAGGTCGCTCTTTCAAAAGTCAAGTTCTAGCCAATTTCTTTTCACCATGCATGACCTAGTGAATGATTTGGCCACATTTGTATCGGGTAAATTTAGCTTGAGATTGGATGACGATGACTTGCCTAACCTTATCAGTAAGGCTCGGCATTTGTCATATTCGAACGGAACGACTTATAACCTTCGGAGATTCGAGGCTTTATCTGAAGCTAAATGCTTGCGCACATTCCTACCAATAGGATGGGGAAATGTGAAAGAACTCCCGTTTTTTAACCAACTTCTATCTGCCGTACGATTCTTAAGGGTGCTTTCATTATGTATGTATCCCATCATAGAGTTGCCCGAATCAATAGGCAATTTGAAGCATCTGAGGTATTTGGACTTATCCGAGACTCAAATTAAAGAAATACCAAATCCAGTGTGCACCCTATACAATTTGCAGACGCTACTATTGTCGTACTGCAGAAATCTCACTCGGTTACCAACCAACATGGGAAGCCTGATTAACTTGCGCCATCTAGACATTGAAGGCACGCCTTTAGAAGAGATGCCATTGCATATGTGCCGCATGAAAGATTTGCAGGCACTAACTGATTTTGTTTTGGGAAAAGACAGCGGGTCGCGAATCAAAGAGTTGAGAGAACTTCAATATCTGCGCGAAGTCTTCGCGTTTCGGGTCTTCAAAACGTTGTCGATGTTGAGGATGTTTCAGATGCCAATTTGAAAGAGAAGAAGTACCTAAGTGAGCTGGTTTTGAAATGGGATGGAGGTGCCAATGATTCACAGAAAGAAAGAGAAGTACTCGAAAGGCTCCAACCGCACACATGCCTGAGGAACTTATCTGTCCTTTGTTATGAGGGTACAAGATTCCCAAACTGGATGGGAGATGCTTCATTTTCTAATATGACATCAATATGTCTAAGAGATTGCACAAACTGTTGCTTCTTGCCACCACTTGGGCAGCTACCCTTTCTCAAAGAACTCGAGATTAGCGGATTCGATGGCGTGGTCACAGTAGACTCTGAGTTTCACTCCAATGATATCTCCGTCGAAAGGCCATTCAAATCCTTGGAGATTTTACGCTTTGAAGACATGTCAGAGTGGAAGGAGTGGTCGTTAATCGGAGGTAATGAAGACGGCGGAGCTTTCCCTCGGCTTAAAGAACTTCATTTGCGATATTGTCCGAAGCTAACCGGCGACGTTCCTGATTACCTTCCGTCCTTGTCGATACTCCGGATATGGCAATGCGCACAACTGAAGGCTTTACTACCAAATCCGAGGGCTCAACAGATGGATATTGCATTTCCATCTCTTCTTACAATGGAAATGAGAGACTGTCCGGAAATAGAGTCACTCCCAAAAGGAGGATTGCACCAAAATCTAAACACCATTACCATTTCCAATTGCAGGAGTCTCGTCGCAAATCGCTCGCAATGGGATATGCAAAGATTCACTTCGTTCCGATCTTTGCACATCAGTGACATAAGTGAAGACGCGTTGGATTCATTTCCAGAGGAGGGGCTACTTCCGCCGACGCTTTCTTCTCTCTCAATTTCCGACATTCCGAATCTCACAACTCTTAACAGCAACGGCTTCCGACAACTTACTTCTCTCGAAAAGTTGTCGATTTCTTGGTGCGCAAGGCTCGAATGCTTGCCGGAGGAAGGACTGCCCGTTTCTCTCTCTCATTTGTGGATCTATAACTGTCCTTTGCTGAAAGATCGGTGTGAACGAGAGAAAGGAGAGGACTGGCACAAAATCTCACACATTGCTTTTGTTCATGTGGATTGGGAATTGGTGTAAGTAGAAGTTGTGTATATGTGTATTTTTATGTATTCACCGGTATGAATGGATCCCAAACATATCAATCCAGGAAGACATGAATTTAGGCCTCGTTCGTTTCGCTGATTCGAGTTTAAAATTCAAGTTGAGATGTGATTTTATGTGAGAGTTTTTTACTGTAGTAAAAAAGTTAGATATGACTGTTTGTGAGAGCTTTTTACTGTAACAAAATTTGAATTCTAAACTCAAATCAGCGAAGCGAACGATGCCGAATTTAATATTTCTTAATTAGCATTTCCAAAACTGTTTGGAGTTGTTTTCATTTTTATTTTTCACGTTTTTTGAGGAAAAAAAAATGAAAACGGAAGAGCAACAACGTCTGGCATAATTAAAGATAAAAAACAGAAATGAAAATGATTTTTTTGTTTAGTGTAAAGTGGGAGAGAAATGAAAAACGACTTTTAGTTATTTTTCATTTTTTATTTCTGTTTTCTTCTCTCTCGAGTAGAAAGAGATGGACATTAATGGATTTTTTTATACTGAAAATAATCTTTTGAAAAAACTACCAAACGCATTTTTAAAAATGATTTTTGTCTGAGATTGAAAACGTTTTTATTTTCATTTTCATATAAAAAAATAAATTTTTTTTTAAAATGAGTTCCAATTCATTATAATTAGCACACAGTTAGCTACATTTATAATGATGTAAGAAATGCTCTGCATTCTTTCCTTCTCAAGCTTTACCCTTAAATTAACTTGAGAAGGAAAAAAAATTATGAAAATGACACAAAACTAAAAGGTAAGTTAAGAGGGTCCGTGTTTTAATTCGGGGCATGAGAAAATATTGAATTAGATTGCATTCTTTTAGTCCGAGAATAAAGTATTTGCATTTGAGTTCATTATACAAAGTTTTCCATTTTTTTCTTCCTAAAATTTCAAATTGACGTACAAAGAAAACCTTCGGGAGAACTGATGAAGATACAGTACTACTTTCTGACATAAAATTCAAGGTTGTTCATCCATTGTTATCTTATTATAAACATAAAAAAACATTTCATTTAGAAAATTAACGAGTTTATTTAGTCCTTCCTTTCTTTCTGGGGGGACCAACGGGCACATGCTAACTATTCTTTTTTTTTTTCTTCTAATGAATGCTAACTGCTAACTTAAATAGGGAGTTAGGAACTGATTATTGCGGATTCGAGTTTTCAATTTGAGTTGAGATGCGACATTTTTTAAAAGCTTTTAACTGTAGCAGAAAAGTTAAAGGTGGTATTTTTTGAGAGCTTTTAACTGTAAAAACTTAGAACTAAAAACTCGAATCGGTAAAATAAACGAAGCCTTAGTATTTTCAAGTGATCACCTCAATGTCCATGCTAACTTGAGTAGGGCCTGTAACGATCTAACTTTTCGAGCTGTTACTTATCATGATTTAATCTTAAAAATTCTTTAAATCAGTTGAAAGGTAAAGTTGATTATTAAAATTTTGAGAATTTTGTTTAGAAACTTATTAAAACTTCAAAACTTAGGGCCTATTCTTTTAGAGTGTGACTTGAGTGTAGTTTTTAAGTTATAACTTGAGTTGAAGTTGTAACTTGAGTTTGTGTTTGGTTGTGTACATTTGAGTTATGGTTTGAGATAAGAATCTTTTTTTGAGTTTGTGTTTGAGTGAGTCAAAACTTAAATTTGGATTTAGATAATATTTTAATAAAAACTCAATGGTGATAAAAAATTTTAATAGGGTATATGGGTGAGATTTTATTCGTCTTTTCGTTAACAACGCATAGAAAAAAAATCATCTCAATCATGATTAAAACGAAAATGTTATAGCATTTTTAAGAATAGAAAAAATATTGTTCATTAACTTGAGTTCGAGTTTCTGAACTCGAGTTGAAGGGGACACTTGAACTCGAGTTTTAGTCCAAAACTCGAGTTCAAACTTAAAAGAACATGAACTTGAATAAATTGGAACTCGAGTTACCTTTTTTTGAGTTTTTTGCGCAGCGGAACACACCCTTATTTTTCTTTTAAAACTATGTACGCTTATTATAACAGTTTCATTTTTCGTCATGTAGTAATGGAACTTAGCGCTTCTAAACCATACTGGATACTAGCTTGCTGTCAGATTTATATAATATGGCAGATACAAATATTGTAGCATGAAAACTTAGCATAGTGGGATGCTAATACCATAATCTACATCATTGATAATATACTAATAATAATTTTATAAGTTACTATTTCAAAATATTTTAAAAGCGTGTGCTGAAAACTTGTTGCATGGTGCCATCCTTTACTCATTTTTCATCGTCACGACCTCTGCCAGTCCATTATATTTATTGATTTGTAATTTTTTTACCTACAACATGAACAAAGTTAATGAGCGAAGGTTCAGCGAGTACAAAGATCCTCACAAAGTGTTTTGCATACAAGTAAATATAAAGTTATGCAAGACATCTTATACTCAATTATGAAAGTATGTTTTATTACTTATGGGCCATGTGCTTGTACTAATTGCATGTGACCTATAAAGTGTTGAAGGAACGACTCAAACATTTAGTCAGACGACACTTAATGTCTTACTTAAATTATCTGTGTTGAATATGGAAAAATTTTAGAACTAGAAGAGAAGAGAGGAGGAAGATGACTTTTTATTACTGCTCAAAATTTTCTTGGCTTGATACAAAATGGAAGAACTCACCCCTATTTATACTAGTGGTACCTCCTCAAACAATGATTAGAATTGTGCCAACTTATTTCTAATATAATGGTTACAATTCATTCTCTATAATTTCTCATCAAAATATCTATTATTCTGTATTTCTCATTCAAAATATCTTATTTTTCTAAGACGTTACATTTCTCTCTTTTAAAAATATCTAGATATTATTTAAAGATTATTCTAGAAGTGCCTTTTAGAATTTGGGCTTATTGTAGTCTAAATTAGATAATTGGATCTAAAATATCAAATCCAATTAACATTAAGCCCAAAAACAAGTTTAACTTCCAACAATCTGGTTTAACTTTCTCCTTCATCATACTTCGTTAACTTAACTCCACACTCCACCAGGGTGTTTATGGGCTTGCAGGTATCCATCTTAAACTTCTTCAGCACCTCTTTTGCATAACCTTCTTGAGAAATGAAAATACCGTCTTCCTCTTGTTTGACTTCAATTTCCGAGTTAGTAAGACATAAGCCCAATATCAGTCATCTCTTTTGTCATTGCTTTCTTGAACTCTTCTGTCATTGCTTTCTTAAACTCTTCAAATGCATTACTTCCTGTGAAGATCAAGTCATCCACGTACAAGCACACGATCAAAACATCTTCTCCTTTGACTTTGCTGTAGAGGGCATGCTCATGAGGGCATTTTATGAAGTTGTTGTCTTGAAAGTACTTGTCGATTCGGCTATTTCATGCTCTCAACGCTTGCTTTAAGCCATAGAGGGCCTTTCTTTTGTCTTCTTGTCCTTGTTGGATCTTTTAAATCCATATTCCACATTCCAGGAATCATCACACTAAAAATTATTAAGAAAATAAGTTAGAACAAATACCTGTCTCCATTGGTGCAGCCTTAATCTCCAGTAGAATTCTCTAAGACAACGGGCACGATGGTTATTGCCTTCCTCAGTCAAATCTTCTTAGTTCCTTAATGGGGTGTTTTCTCTCTAGATGGGGAAGAATGAAAACTGCCGAATGATTTGACGGATTGGGGACCATAACCTAAGTTTCTTATATATTGTCCCATTAGGCTCCTATTAAACCTAGTTGGGTCAATATGGGTATCCACTCATTCAGCCCATACCATGTTAGGAGACTATTTGGACTTTTCATAATTAGATCACTTAATCAACCCAATTAATTAAATAGCTTAATATAATTATTGAATAAATATGTGGCCTACAATATAGGAAACTCACGTTTCCTAACAGTCCTTTCACCTAATAGCCCATCGATTGCTCGATATAGACTTCTTCTTTAAGGACTCCATTCAACAAGGCGGACTTCACATCCATTTGAAAAATCTAACACCTATTTTGAGCGGCTAGAGAAATAATTAGTCTTATAGTTTCCAAGCGAGCGACAGGAGCAAGTACCTCATCATAGTCGATTTTGGCTCTTTGACTATAACCTTTTGCTACTAGTCTTGTCTTGTATCTCTGAACTTCTCCCTTAGCATTCTTCTTTGTTTTATATGCCCACTTCACGTCAATCGCCTTATGCCCCTTTGGAAGTGAATTTAGTTCCAATGTGTCGTTCTTCTCAATGGCCTTGATTTCTTCATCCATTGCATTCCTCCACTTCTTGCTTTGCATGGCTTCTTGAAAATTCATGGGCTCGCAATTGGCAAAGAGACAAAAGAGAGTAAGATTACTTGATTTTCGGTTACCTCATAAAGTTCTTGCAGGCTTCTAATGCGTGGCTCTCTTTCACTTGAATTGGCACTTGCTTGAAATGATGGTGAAGAATCTCCTTAAGTACTTGGTGTTGGTGAAGTTGGTGGGGTAGTAGTAGGGGTGGCAATTCGTATCACGTGTCGTGTTCGTGTCGTGTTTTGATCTTTTTTTTTTAAATTTACAGTCAACCCGAACACGACCCGTGACACGAAATTGTTTAAAAACCGCAACACAAACACGACACGACCACTTTACGAGTTGACACGACACGACCCGAAAATGACCTGTGACACGAAATTGACCCGTGAACCCGAAATTGACACGAAAATTGTATACTTTTATTTAGTTTTTTACGTATTAGAAATAACTTAAAATTCATAACACACTAAATTACAATAACATCCATTGAAATTAAGCAAATAATAGTATAAGATTTTAAGTATAACTATCACGATATCACAAGTTCATAATAAAATTTAAAATATGAAATGAAAAAAATATCTATTTTTTAGTTTTTTACGAGTTTCGTGTCGTGTTCGGGTTAGACGGGTCCAACCCAAAATTGACCTGGATTTTTCGTGTCAATTTCAGGTCGACCCAATTCTGACCCGAACATCTTTTTTCTCAACCCTAACCCGTAAAATTCGTCTCGTTTTCGAGTCGTGTCGTCGTGTCGTGACCCATATTGCCGGCCCTAGGTAGTAGGCTCCTCTCCATCTTTTTCCATCCTTGGTTGCTTCATATCTTCCTCTTCAAAGTAAGGAAAAAAGTTGTAGTCTTCATCATGCGGGCTCCAATCCCATTCTCCTTCTTCATCGAACTCCATGTCTTGGCTAATGATAGTCTTTCCGGTTTTCAGATTTCACAACTTGTATCCTTTAGAATTTGAGTCATAACATATGAAGATAAATGCCTCACTTTTGTCGTCTAACTTGGCTCTTTTTCAATCCGGCATATGTACTGTGATACCCAGAATTTCTCACATACTAGTTGGTCAATACATTTAATAACATTTTTGTATCATGCATATGATACATGAACATTTAGTTATTTTATATGCATTCATGTATCATAATGGTGTACAATGTAAATTGAAGTAAGTCATATGTTTGGTATGTTCATTATACAGACAAGTGACTCGGGGTTGCTAAAGAGAAGAATCCGGTAAGTTGGAAAATGGACAACAACTTGTTCTTAATGATATTTTCAAGAATTTCTAAGTGAAAAGTAAAATATGGAGTCCTAATGGGGCTTTAAGGCAAGTTTAATGAAAATGTACATATTGGTGTGATGTGTGGTAAGGTTTGGACTTGAGTTAATGTGTCAACGAGATTACTTAAGGTGATTCTAAGGTTGAAATAAGGTTAAGAATGGGATGACGATAAGGGTTTAATGATCGTGTTACTTTAGAAGCCCTAAATTAAGCATATTTTGGCATTCGAGTTTTTGGAATCAAATTGAGATTTTATTAGGGTTCTAAAGGAATTATGGATCCTAATAATTAGGGTAAGAATGAAATAGAAAGTGATTATGTTAGATGTTTAAAATTGAATGAAAAGAATAGGAGATGTAAAGTTAGGATTTCTCACGTACCGAAATTTCGGTGCAAGCAGATACACCAAATTTGGTAAGTCAAATGACTTGCTAAGACCTAGCTCATACTTTGGGAATTTGTATGAGTGTTGTGTGCAAGAGAAGATGGTGAGAGAAATACTTAAGGTGATACTCTACTTAGAGGAGAGGAAAGTACTTAATGGTTAAGTAATTAAGCTGCCTACTTGTCTCTTTAAAGTATTAAGCAAGAAGGTGAGGAGTAATCAGCTCCAAAACCTTCTAGTCCGACCCTCCTCTGGTTTCAAACTGCTTCTCCAGCCATTTCTTAAGAAAACTAAAGCCATTCCAAGTGGTTTGATGAAGGATCGATCATAGGAACACCAAGAGATTGAAATTAGTGTAAGGGTCTATTCCAAGGGTTCATAAGAGATTTCGGAGCTAATCATTTGAATTGGAGGTGAAGAAAGTGAAGTTTACAAGTGAAAATATTGATTTGGTTCACAAAGTTGTTCACATCGGATCCACCAAGAGGAACCCCAAAGTCATACTTTCTGTCATACAGTGCGAGGTAAGTAGAATATCACCTGTATCACCATAATAATTATGCATAGTACATTCGTGATACTTGATTATGTGATGTATATGTATAATGCATAAAGTATGTACATGGTACAAAATACAAGAAAATGCTATATAAGGAATGAGTTGATAAACATTCACCAAAGTAAAAAATAAAATATGGAGTCCCTAACGAGAACATACCCACCAACATCGAGAGAATAAAGAGAGAGGAGAGACTCCGCCTGGCCGATAATCGCCCGAGCAACTCGAGAATGGAGAGAGGGAGTCTGAGAAAAGAGAGAGAAACAGAGAGAGAGATAGAGAGCTTTGGCTGAGAGAGAGAAGGAGAAGAGTACAGTCGAGAGAGGAGAGCACCAGCGAAGGAGCAAAAAGAAATTTGGGAATGAGATTTCTTTGATTCGGCGGGGTTAATTTGGGAAAAAGGAAAATATCATTAATGAGGGATAATAGATTGCCGCACAATTTACAATCAGAATCAGCCTTTGGGTTGCTTCTGATTTTCCCTCTAAATTCCTCACAAATTATCTTAGAAGCACTTCTTAAGGTTTTTACTAAACGCATAAAACAGCTTTGGCTGAGTTAAAAATTGATTTTGGGCTCCCAAAATCTCTACCAAACTAAGCCTATATTTTTTTCTGAAAAATAATTTTATTAATAAACTAATTCTAATGGGTCTAGTTTAATGTCTCTATATCTATAACACATCAATGACTATTTTCATAATCAACCCTTAAACAATTGATATAAGATCATTATTACTTTAGTAGTAATTGTTTTTTGAAAAAAATGCTTCATACCTAAACTTCCAACTACCCGAACTATATCTATTGTCACAAAATGTCCACCAAACTTTAATTTGTAACATTTAGGGTTATTGGCACGAATAGTCCCCAACTTCTTTAGTAGGTGACAGTTTTGACCCTAACCTTTTTTTTTTGACAAAACAACCCCCAACCTCTTCAAAAGGTGACACTTTGGTCTTTTCCGTCAAATTGCTTTAAATTTTTAACATAATTAATCATGTGCAAGGCATGTGATCTTGTTAAATGGGGTATTTTGGTAAAATACCAAGACAAACTCTCATTCTCTCTCTTTCTCTCTCTCATCTCTCAAGCTCTCTTTTCGCCCCTCTTTCTCTGCTCTCTGCTCTCTCTCTCTCTCTCTCTCTCTCTCTCTCTCTCTCTCTCACATCTCTTATGCAGGAGTCCTATGAGGGAATCCATGACCGAGTTTCTTGACTTGGGGGTCCCAATCTGCAATCGAGTTATCAAATTTCTTGACTCGGCACGCACGGCTTCTCTCCTCGATGACGAGCATGAGGTGCCAGAGTTCGAAATGACAGCATTGTTGTCGGCGAGCTAAGGGCGGAGATCATCGAGCTTGGCACGGATGAGGGACCACTTGCCCATGAAGGTCAGGACGAGTGGCATTTCGTCCATGAGAGAGGAGAGAAGCTCGGTGGAGATGGCGATTGGGTTAGTTTCTTCTTCTAGTGCTTTCGTGGCGGTGGTTTTGCTGTTTCTCTCTTTTCCAACAGAGAAGGAAAGAAAGGGAAATGGAAAGGGGATTTACTTTTTCCATCTATCTCTCCCTCTTTTTGTCTCTCATCTTACTTTAGTGAGCACTCCCAGGAAATCAAAAGGAAAATTTTTCCTTTTTATTTATGAGTTTTTGGGCTACTAGGCGGAGATCTATCAATGGGTCGAGATTGACATCCCCGGCTAAGACTGTTGTCGATGAGTAGGACTGCGGATCTAGCGATGAACATCGCTGGAATTTGAGGATTGATGAATCTAGGTTTTATAGGAAACTTATTATATGAAATTTACAATTACAATTCTAAATAGAAATGTTACAATGTAAATTTACTATAAAAATTTTTTTACAATAAACGCCTTTTATTTTTCTAACAAATGTAATAGTAATTTATTCATGGTGATTCTAATTTCACATCTGTTTTGAGGGGTGGTGATAGGTAGAACAGGCTGAGCATTTGGTCTGAACAAGCCAAATATTTGGTCAGACCATTGAATCCGACTGCAAGCCGAGCACCGAATCCGACCATTGCCCGAGCACTTGGTCCGAACAATGGAAGAACAATTCCGAATAGGCCGAACAGGAGAAAGAACAACCCCAAACAAGTCGGATAGGGAAGAACAATCCAAAGAGGCGAAACTGTTGGTTTCAAAAACAATTCTGGATGCAGAAGCAAATAGGTACAGATCGCGTGTAACAAAAATTTTCATAAAACTTTTGCAATACAATATTTAGAATATATTTGTTTACTTGCGAATAAATTAATCTAATTAATTTATTAATTTACCTAGCAAACAATTAGGTCGATAACTTAGGTTCTTTGACCACGAACAATCATAGCTCAAAACTTTTTAAGAATACCCGAATCTTTCTTATCTAGTCCTTGATACCTGAAAAACCTAAAGTGTGGGCTCTAATATAGAACTAAAGGAATCAATCACTCACTAATTTTCTCTTCCACTAATATCAATACATATATAAGGTGGAACTGGAAATGGAAGAACTTTTCTTTTCTTTTTTTCTCAGGTTACACATCCATAATTAGTAAGTTACATGCTCACCAACTGTACGTTACACGCTCACCTTACACGTTTACACTAAGCATGTCACACACCTACTATAAGGAAGAGAGTGTAAAAAATTGTGTTCCCTAATTTTTTAGGTCTTCATATTTATAGTCCTAAAAGAACTCTTTAACTTTATCTTTAAGTTAAAGTAATTAAAAATTAGATATCACTTATAGATTTAAAATATAATTTTCCATTTTATTTTGAAAAAAAAAAATCTCTCTCTATCTCTACTAAAACCGGCCACCACAAAGAGCCAATAATGTTAGGAGAAGGAGAAGACTTTCACTGATTTTATGAAACAAACGACTATATTTTTTGATACCACTAAAGTTTAAAACACAATGTGTAAAACTTGTTTTTTTTTTTTTTTTTTTTTTTTTTTTTTTTTTGGGGGGGGGGAGAAAAAAGCGGAAAAAAAAAAAAAAAAAAAAAAGTGGGGGCGGCCGAGCCGGGGTATTTTAGTAATATAGATATTCGTTTAATATCCCTGCAACATTTTCCTTGACCCTGCCGTGCTTGGAAGTAGCCGGAAAGCCCCAGAAAACCAATGCATAAGAAAACAAAACGCGAATCGATTCGAAGCCAAAAGGTGAGAAAGTTCTCTCATATCTCCCTCTCTACGCAATAATCCACTCTCATGCTTTGATCTCTCTCATTTCTTCAATACTGAATAAAATCGGTTATTTTATTTGGATCACTAAAGAAACCCATTTCTCAGAAAGCTGTTCTCTGCACTCTCATGTGATAAGGTCCGTGGATTTGACATCTGATTGACGATTTTTGATCTGGGTAGTTTTAAATTCACGGTTTAAGAATTGGGTTTCCCTCTGCTTGTGAAGTTTTGGAGGTTTTAAGAAAGCACTTCGATTTTTCAGGCTAGGAGTGATCTGTAATCTTGTTTGCTAGTGCAAAAGTGCTCTTTTTTCATGGGATTTTCTTTTCTGTTGAAATAGTAGTACTGAGTTTTGCGGAATCAAATTGAAGTGTTGTGAAGCGTTATTTTGTTAGGGCGTTATAAATGGGGAGGCCTTTGATTTATGAGATCTTGGAAAAGCCAGCCACAAGTTGCATTATAGGATTATGCAGTGCAATTTGGTTTTACATTCAGAAGAAAAACATTGGATATTCCCATGTGGGGTTGAGTTATGAAACCGCCCTTGAAGGGCACCATTGGAGGATTATAACTTCGGCCTTTTCCCATATAAGCATTCTTCATCTTGTATTCAATATGAGTGCTCTTTGGAGCCTTGGTGTGGTAGAAAAGTTGGGGCCTTTAGGACTTGGAGTGGAATATTATCTGCATTACACACTTGTCCTGGTTGTGCTATCTGGTGTGCTTGTTCTGGGGATGTACCATCTTCTGATTCAAAGGTTCAAGATCGAGTATTTCAGGAGAGTTACAGCTGTTGGATATTCTTGTGTTGTTTTTGGGTGGATGACTATTCTTTCTGTAAAGCAACCATCGTCGAAATTGGACCTTTTTGGGTTTCTTTCTCTTCCAATCAGTTTTGCGCCATTCGAATCGCTTATTTTTACTTCAATTATAGTTCCGCAAGCCAGTTTTCTAGGCCACTTGTCGGGAATCGTCGTCGGGTATGCTGTTGCTTGGGGTTTGATTCATGGGATGAACAATTACTGGGCAGTTTCCATGCTGGGCTGGATTGTACTCGTGTTCATATTCAGTTTGAAGCGCTCTGGTGCATATGACTTTAACTTTCTCGAGATCGAATCCGTTACAGATCCTTCTTTGCCGGCTGTTCGGTTTCTCGCATCTGGAAACGGAAGAACATTGCAGATGAGTTCATTACCAGTGGCTGGTGCTGAGATTGTCTAGTTGCGTCTTCTCCGACCTTTGCCTGAAATAGGCTTGAAAAGGAGGTCCTCCGTCTATGTTTTCAATTGCCTTTGCCCCACTAGATGGTCATGCTTAATGCTACAATTCTGTCATTGGGTTTTTCTCTCCTGACACAAGTCCTGGGATGCTACTTCTTTTCTTCAAACCATCATCAGCAGCAGGTGCACGTCACGGTCGTTGTTCTGTTATTAAAGTTGTACTGTTTTGAAGGAGCTAAATTTTGAATGATCATTTAGATCTTTGTGGCTATAATTTTAGCAGCATATATATACGAGTTAAGGATTGTTTTCTGAAATTAGAGAGTAGATGAATTCCTTATGGTGTTTAGTGTGCATTTTACAGGTATTTCTACTACATAAACATTGAACAGACCTTAAGGGGAAAATTTACCTTTTAAGGCTGTAATGTGATTCTTTTGTCGTTCCCTCATTCTCCTTGGGAGGTAATATTTTTCATGTTGACTGACTTACCTCATTTGTTTATGCGTTATATTCAAGTTTCTTACCTCTCATATCATCTATGACTCGTGGGGTGCATTTGGAGTTGATTTTTGCTTATTTTTTAAAACATTTTTACACGTCTTTTGAAGTATGAAAATGAAAATTATTTGTAAACTGTGTTTATTTAGCAAATGTTTTAAAAACAAAAACGAAAACAGAGAACAGTAAGAATAATTTTTGTGAAGGAATTAGAAAATGATTGAAAATGGTTTTCCTTTTTCTGTTTTCATTTTTTAGTACTTATTAATAATGTTATAATATATTAATTAATAATTGTAGTCATACACAATTTTATTTTTTTATTATACTCAAAATAATCTCTTAAAAAATTAACCAAACGTAATTTTAAAATTGATCTTAAAATGATTTTCAAAAGAATCTCATTTTTACTTTTATATTGAAAACAAAATTATTTTAAAAACGTTACAACACGGCCCTTCATTTGCTTGCAGTCAGTCCTTTTAGGGGATGCTGTTACATTGCCAATGAGACCTTTATTTGTTTAATGATTCTTGGTTTTTTTTTTTTTTTTTCCTGAGCTTAGATAGCAGGTTCTTCCTGACAGGAAGATGAAGAAGTGTTAAAGAATCGAGGGTAATAATTCTCGAGAGATAAAGAAAGAAGAAATGTGCTTAATAATGAAATTATTGTAACGAAATTGGGATGCAGCAGATCAAACTTACTAGAATTTAACGAAGTGCGTTTTTGCAATCGTTTTTCTTTTATTTTCTTTTCTCTTAGAGGATAAACCTTTCCTTCATGGGCTTCTGCGTCTGTGTATATATATATATATTTTTTTTTTTCTTCTTTTTTGCAGGACTATTCATGAATTTGGTTGGTACGAAATAAAGTTTTTTTCACTCTAAAGGGTGTGGGTAACACATATTTAGCCTCAACGATGTTAGAAAATTTTTACAATCTAATTATATTTGGGTTGGGTTAGGGCGGTGCAAAGTGGGTTAGGTGGTCAGTTTCAACATTTAAAGAATCAAAGACTCTAAGTTCAATTCAACATTCAAAGTTCATCATCAAATAGAAATAATAACTCCAATATTCAAACAAATAGAAATTTAAAGTTCAATCCAACATTAAACATAAAGCAAAGTAGTTCATTTAACATCAAACATAAAGTAAACATAAACTAGTTTACACTAATAAATTAGTCTTAATATAAAGCAAATAAAGATGCTTATTTCAAATATAAAGAAACTAGATAGTAGAAATAAATTATTTGCCTAGAGTTAGATATTAGAGGAGGTAACTTAGAACGCAAGTTGGGTTGGAATGTGCGGGCCATTATAGGCTCAACCCACACCTCACTCCAAAATTTCGGGCTAAACATTGAATGGACCGAAAAAAAAAATTTAATACTAGAAATTTTGAGTTGGGTTAGGTCTACAGGTTTTATGGGTTTATGAACAGTCCTATTTTTTAGTTGAGAAAGGGAGAAGATGAACAGATCTTGTTGAAGAGGGGAATTCTTATCCTATTATATTTTTCTTTTACACTTTACTCTACACTGGCCTTTTCGCCTTTTACCAGTTTGCAAGAAGATGGAAGAAATGGGGAAGATACGTTTAGGGAAACAACATGGAGAAGAAAAAGTTAAAAAAAAAAAGGGGAAGGGGGGGGCGAAGAAACGTCACAAATAAAAAAAAAAATGTCAAACACAAAGGTTTATTTTTCTCCAACAGCTTCTATTTAGAGTTGATGAAACTCTTTATTGTAAACTGTTAGATTTACTTAATTAGATGGTTATTAATGATGGGTGTGTAATAAATATTTTTTTAAGACGTTATTGTCTTTGAAAATAATTTTGTTAATAGAAATTTTAGTAATATTAAAAAGAGGTGTGTGAAAAGTAGAAAAGACAGTGATAATAGGTGCACTTTTTATATTATTGTATAGTAATCGATATTTTTAAAATTAGAGCTTTAATAGACATTTTATATAATTACTTCTTATGAAAAACCTATAAAACAAACTTAGGTCTGCGTTAAATTGCTGAAACTTTTATCCCTTTGCTGAATAGGAACTCTCCAATCAGTCGTGGGTGTAGTGATGAAAGTTTGGGCGGCGGGCATGCCCAATGCCCAAAAATTTTCGGGCACAACGGGCAGGTGTCATTTGTCACCCGTCCGAGTATTTTGGTCAGGCACGGGCTTGGGCAGCCCGAAAAAAATCCATTTCGGCTGCCCACCGCCGGGGGAGAAGACCAAAAAAAACAACTCCATCCCGCCCCCCCCCCGCCGGTGGAGAAGTCAACCTCGCCGCCTACTAGATTTTTTTTAAATTTTCCTGCGTAACCCGAATTTTGCCTGAATTTTTTATACTGTTAGCCTGAATTTTGCCCGTTGCCTGAATATGCCCGAATTTGTTTGATTTGGTTCAGTGGTGGAGGGCACAAGTATTAACTTGGCCGATCCTAACACGGCAATGGATATTTTTTCGATCTCAGTCTCCACTGTTGCAGCCGAACAAGCATTCAGTACAACCGGCCGAATACTTGAAGAACGGAGAAACGCATTGCAATAGGATATTGTTGAAGCTTTGGTGTGCATCAAGGATTGAGATCGTTCCAACCAACGCTTACACGATACAATCTCACCGGCAAGTCAAGAATGGATCGACAAATTTAATAGACTAACTTTTAATTTTCAAGACGATCCTTCTGCTTCAAATTAAATTTTATTATTGTAATTTGTAAATATTTATTTACTTTGTATAGTATTATTGTAATCTTGCATAGACTTTGTAAGTTCGTCACAATTGTAATTCATCCCACAATGATTGCACGCTTTTTTCCTTATCAAGTTTTTATCCTAATTGGGTTTTTCTTAATAAGGTTTTTAATGAGGTAATCATGAATTATAAATTTAAAAATCAATAAAGAAATAATTTTTTTATATAGTTCGTGTGTTCATTTCAAATTTTAAATTGTAATATATCTATATATAAAACATAAAAATATAATATAAAAAATATTTAAAAATTCATGCATTTTTGGTCAGGCAACGGGCAGCCCGATCGGGCACGGGTAGCCTTTGGCTGCCTGATGCCCGTCCAAGGAGATTTTCGGGTCGGGTCGGGCAGCCTAAAAATTCAGCCAGTTCAGGCTCAGTAATCGGTAAAAATTTAGAATTTTCGGTGGTCGTGGGCGGCCCGTCCAAAGTTTCAGCACTATGTGGGTGTAAGTAAACTTATCAAAGACAAAAATTCACTTAGGACTCATTCAGTTTGTTGATTTAAGTTTTCAATTTGAAATGAGATGTGATTTTATGAGAATTTTTTACTGTAGTAGAAAAAGTTAAATGTAATATTTTGTGAGAGTTTTGAATTGTAACAAAATTGAAATTAAAAATTCAAATGGTGAAATAAACAAGACCTTAAATGTTAATCACATTGCTGAATTATACACACACATATATATATATATATATATATATTTGTAGAGACGTGAATTATGTTCAATTAGAGTCAATGCAAAATCAAGAAATTCAGCAAAAGAAGAGGTTTTCTAGTGAGAGATATCCACAGAGAGAGAGAGAGAGCAGAGAGAGAGCAGGGAAGCAGCAAAATAGTTTGGCCGGCTACCGAAAGCGCGTCTCCGATCAGCTGGCTCTCAAAATACATTCACGCGCTCTGCGCCAGTTAATCTACATGATGGTGGAGTCTGTGTTGATACTTTCTTCTCTCTTTTTAGTTGTTCGTGAAATAAAGGCAGTCATTGTGCTGGTGTTGATGCTTGTTTTCCCCACAAATCATTAGATCTATGTAGGCTTTAGTTGTTTTTGTTATTTTTTGTCGTATTCCCCCACCAAGCTATAACATTATGTGGGTTTTGTGTTGTTTTTTTCTTCTATATGTCTTTAACCAGATCTCCCACTTCGACGAGTGTTATTTGAAAGAATACTGACTTTTAAAGATCAGTCTTTACAGAGAGTTTGCTACAGTCCTTTTAAGAGAGCCAACTGTAGCGAGAGAATTAAACGAGCCAAAAAAAATGCTTCAAATTGTGTCCATTATCGGACCTTAAATCCTTGTACCAAAATGCGAACAGATTTATCAATTTTTTTAATTAATGAAATGTTTTTTTGTATTAAAAAACAGTGCATCTTGTGCATAAGTCGTGGAACATTCCGTCTATTAATTGACATTCACAAAATTCCACAATTGTAACGAATTTTCAAATTTAACGTCTCATTTAACAAAATTCCAAAATTTGTGGTCCAACCGAAAAAAGGGGCGCCAGCACCCCGAAGGAAAAAAAAAATCAAAAGAAAAGAAAGAAACCCTGCCAAATATATTGGGGAAAAAAAACTTTGTAGAGTTTGGTCAAAAGTCCAATTTGTTAAACAAACCTCAGCGTCCGGAATATGTATGTGGTCAGCATACATAACGGAGGCCTCATCTTTAAGAATGCATAAAATTGTGGCTTACAGAAAATGAATCGTTCGTTTAGTTCATAGATTCAGAATCATAATTCAAAATTATTTTTAATTTATGTGTATTTTTTATGAGAGAAAATACTGTAACGAGCCACGAACCATGATTCGAACTATGACACGAATCCATCAACTAAACGCACACTTACATCCAGGCAAATACATGTAACCACACTGAAACATAAGAAGCAAAACAAGTGCCGCCTAAGATTAAAATGAACAGAACTGTACAATATATACACGAAAACAAATTCAATTGAGTCGAATTTGGTGGGTTCTATCGCTTAACATTTGCCTTTCCCAAGACAATTCATCATAGTAATTTTAATGGGAAAAGAATACCAAAGGCTGAGACCATTTAGGACGAGAAGATAATGTTCCAATCAATACTCTTCAAGCCAAATTTTGAGTCAGTACCGTGCAAAACAAACCTCTCAATATCCTCATGGCAGCATCGTTATGCTCATCCGATACATCTGCACAGATTTCCATATCCAGGATAAATGAGCAAAGAAGAAATTAACAGCTCCGTTAGTTTAAAAAATCTTCTCGATAACACTGAAAGTACAAAATGCGATGCTCTAATTAAATATTTGTTTCGAATGCAAAAACCGAGCGGCATAAACATGGCAATCAGTCAAAACATCCACAGGTTTTGCATCTAAGCCATTGGCCCTCGTAAAAGAGAGAATGGTCTTTTAATACTCTTCCTCAACTAAGAGATATGGAAATTCTAGACATATATGGTTATCCGGAAATATATAATCTAATAAAGTCAGGAAACTGAGTAGTCTGAACTTTGTCAATTTTCACAAAAATACAGGAGATGTTGGAAAATGGAGTCGATAATGAGGCCATGATTTGTCAAATTTCCATATTTAAACAGGTATGATTATCGGGAATATAATATAACAAAGTCAGGAAACTGAAAAGTCTCAACTTTGTCAAATTTTCACAAAAAATACAGGAGATACTGGCAAATAAAGTCAATAATGAGGCCATGATTTCTATATTTTATAACAAGATGCCATGAATACAATTCTAATAGTCGGGCTTCCATAAGAAATTAAAATTTTGACCACTTTAATCAGCATCTTGCATATCAATCAAAGTTAAAAGAATCAATGGATTCAGGCATTGAATATCCCAGAGTTTTACACTTCACTAATTAGCAAGGGAAGAATAACTGTGGCGGGTACAAAATTAGAGGTGATTATAGAGATGGCAAGGCAGGGTATAAGCGTGGCCCTCATGTTACCTGACTACATCAGATTAATGATCTTCCTGGAGTTAAAATGCAATAGGTAACTTTCATAAAATAAAAGTCATAGAAAGTCTAGACATGACCGCTATTCTGGAGACTCACCAGCTCTTAGTGTTTTCAGAAGCATCTTCATGATCAACAGTCCCATTAGAATGTAATGAGCCTGAGGAAGAGCCGCTTTCTTGGACACCTGGATGAAGAATGTGGGAGAAACCCTGCCCAATTGACTTCCATAGTCGTGTCGGCAGGGAAGATTGTAGATCACCGCCACTCATATCAGAGGACGGTTCAATTGACCTAGCTGAAGCAGGATTCAACTCGGAAAATCTTACAGCGCCTAAGAGTTTCTCTGGAAGATCAGCTTCAGTTTGGCTCTCAATGAGAAAAGCCAGGTCGACTGTTAATGTTGTGATGTAACCAAATGCCAAATGAACTATTGCACTTGCAACAATGGAAGATCCAATATCCACATCTACTTCTACAAAATTGTCTGCCACACAATACTTACAAGACAGAGCACGCCCAATTATGCATATAGCCTGCTCACCAACTGCTTTTCGAACAATCCAAGGGCCCTTTACAATGTTGGCAATCAATTTAAGCCTAGAATTCCTAAACCCATCATCACCTTTCAAAAACTGATCCATCAAAGACCCCTCTGGAATAGGATATGTGCTTGCAAAGTATGCTACAGCACTATAATTATCTTTGCTTGGGACTTGCAGATTGAAAGCCCATATGAAGGGCCTTTCACCTGTTGACAACTCATCATCTATGACCCTTCTAACACGGCTGTTTGGATTGTTTAACACGTCTCCAATCTTTTTAGAACTTTTGATCCAATCAAATCCAACAGGCTTTAGAAGATATTCGCCAGCAGGAATTTTAACCTTGGTTGAGAAGTACTCTGGACCTCTAACCATAAACTTATCTCCAGGTGGAGTAGCCCAACCATTTGGACAGTTTTCTGGATCAAGAAGCGGAACAGCACCCCCCGACTTCACTCTCTCTATCCATCCAAGCTCCTTCTTGCTACCAGTATCGGCCATATGATATCTACTATGATGGAAACATGTCAGGCACTCAAGTAAATAAGCATTCAATGAATCAAGTATACTAGTAATTTTCTTTAAAGACAGTCCATTCACTAAACACACCAACACTGTGCCACTTTACGCTTGATGGACCATTTCCACAATAATAATTAAAAATATATAAATATATATATATATAATGACCGGATAGCTTAAATAATGTGAATAAATGCATTTTTTGGAAGTGTTGGTAAGGGTCAACAAAGTTTAGAAGACTACATTGAGGCTTAAGCATGCAAAAATAAACTATATATTTAAGATCAGAATTTAATTAGTCTAGTGAAACAGTTCTAAAAAACTTTCCCAAATACATGTAAAGAAAAGTTCAGAAAGCAGCATCTGAAATATAAATAAACAAGAAATTCCACACTCAGCAACTTTTCTTTTTTCTTTTTTCCCCTTCTCCAAACGATGAAGGTAATAATTTTCTTTTTCTTTTTGATTCTTTAGGAGCCCTTTGGTCTGTTTAGGTATGCTGTATCTCATGGTGAAGCAGTAAGCCTTGGAGCAGGTGTACATACAATTGTAAGTTGCAACATGTCATGTCTTTCATTCGAAGTATTTGAAGTTATAAAAAATAAAAAAATAAAAAATATATATATATAAATATAGAAACGCAAACATTTGCTCAACAATGCTCTAAACTCACATTAGTTTTTTTTTCTCATTTTATTTTCTTGGATATTCTCCTTATCTATTTCTCCAGTGTCTTATTTATTCAATCATTTATTTACTTTATTTATTATTTCTTTCTTTCTTTTGCTTTTCCCTGAAAAAGAAAGTATCACAAATTCTTACATATGCATTTACATCCAGATACATAGATATATATATATATATATGTATGTATGTATGTATGTATGTAAACACACCCAAAGACTGCAAATATCATCCATAAATCAATAAAATGAATACTAATGTTAGGGAAAAATCATAAAAATTCAGAGAAATTATACTTAAACCAGCCAATACCATATGAACATTTAAAACAAAACAAAACAAAAGGAAAGAATTCCCAGAATCCAGCTAAATCACATAAGATTACGTACTCATAGAGGCAAGCATATATAACAGTTTCTAATTCTTTTCTCAAAATTAAAATCGAAAAATCCGCAGCATAAACGCAGAAAAATCGGAGATAATACATATAAGTCGCCTAATATACACGAAAAAACATGGAACAGAAACCCTAACCTCGAGTTGTGCTAAGAGAATTGTCGAAGAATAGGAAAGAATCTGCGAACCCTAATTAAGGATGTAATGGGATCAGAAATTAGGGTTTCGCAGTGTGATTTACATGCGCGAGAGCTTCAACTTCAAGTTCAAATAGGGCATTCTTCTAATTTCTTAATGCTTTCATTTCTTTTCCTATTTTGTTTTGAAATTTTTTTGATTATTTGTTATGACCTGCAACCGGTTCAAGCAGTGTACGCTTCGGCGGGTGGTATTTGCGTAGCGGAATAGCTGTGACTGCTGAAACCGGTTGAAGGTGACCATTTACGTAATTTACCATTTCCGTTCCTTTTTTTTTATTATTATTAACTAGCCTCTCTGAACTTTAGAATCATTTAAAATTTACTCTCTGAACTATAAACATTCTCATTTTGTTCTTAAATTTTAAATTATTCTCATTTAACTTTATTTGTTACAATTTTCTATTAATAATTGATAAAAAAAAAGATAAAGTAATGCAATCGTGTGAAATTTTTGTTCGAATTTCTATTAGAAATAAACATATAAGAACTACATGAATTGGTGCGTTTGGTTACCATATTCGTGTCATAATTCGAATCATAGTTCGTAATTTATTATAGTATTTTTTCACACAAAAAATACACGTAAATCGAGAATGGTTCTGAATCATAATTTTAAATTCATAAACCAAACGTCACATGATCTCTTTTTTCATCTGATTTTAATAAAAATTAATTACATAAAAAGTTAAATGAGAACAATTTAAAATTTAAATAATAAAGTGAAAATTTTTAAAGTGAAAATTGTTACATAAGAATTCTAAATTGTTGCATTTCATTTTGACCCCGATATTCATTCTATAATCTATCTATAACTAAAAATCAATTATATTCTATCTATAATTTATCTATTATTTAATCTGTATCTCCGTACATTAACTATAGAAGAAAGCGTAGTGGTTATAAAATCTATGATTGGTTTGAAAAACATCTTGAGACTCAGATAATTGTGGATAATATAAAGTGATATTGTATTATATATTATGCTAAATTGTTTCTCATTATGAAAAAATATTTAACCGAGTTTGATGAATAACTCGAGCTCATTAACTTAAGATCCGTTTAATTCGCTGATTCGAGTTTTTAATTCGAGTTGAGATGTGACTTTATGTGAGAGCTTTTTAACTATAGCAAAAAAGTCAGATGTGACTGTTTCTGAGAGTTTTTTATTATAACAAAACTCGAATTCTAAATTCAAATCGGTGAAATGAACGGAGTCTCAATCATCCCTCGCCTCTTAATGGTGTCATTTAGCATCTCAAAAAAAAAAAAAAAAAAAAAAAAAAAAAAAAAAAAAAAAAAAAAAACAGAGCCAAAAAAAGAAACTTATTTACTATTGGATACGAAATCAATCTAATGCCACTAGATGTATGGAATAATAAAAATTTAAATAATTAACCACATAGTTATTACATTGCCGGCACATATAAAAATCACTAAGGACTATTTCACTATCTTAGCGCTCTTTCCTAAGTAAATTTCATATCATGACATTGTATTTCTTAATAGTAATTCTATACGTTAAGCACGGAACGGATAAAAAAAACTATCAAGGGGAAGGGGAGGGGGGTCGGGGGAGGGGAAGGATCCTCTCCCTTAGCGTCCCGTCATTCCGAAGGAATGAAAAACAGGACTACCCTTACTACTCGTCCCGCCATTCTGAAAGAATGGAATAAAGGGACGACTTAACGTTTCCCTTCGTTCTGTCATTCCGAAAGAATGAAGTAACGGGACGACCTTATGCTTTTGTTTCATGTATAAAAATAAAAATGAAAACATTTTCAATCTCAGATAGAAATTATTTTTAAAAATGTGATTGGTAGTTTTATCAAGAGATTAGTTTCAGTATAAAAAAACTCATTAATGTCTATTTCTCTCTCTGCGAGAGAGGAGAAAACAAAAACAAAAAATAAAAAACGACTAAAAGTCGTTTTTCATTTCTCTCTCATTTTATATTAAACTAAAAAATTATTTTCATTTTCATTTTTTATCTTTATCGCGTCAAACTCATTATAGTAATTTCTATAATTCAAAATATGCCACCCAACACTTGTTTGTAATATCAATAATGCTGCAATTTGAAGGATATTTGAATATCCTTTTATGTGCATTATGGCAATTATTATGTGCTCCCACCATTTAAGCAGTCCTAAAAGATAATAATCGGTACTTGAGATTTTATTTTGTTTCAGTTTCAAGTTAATTTAATGTAATTATTTTTACAAAACTTTAAATTATCACGTGATGAACAGATGATTATCTTAGTTAAATTGTAGAAATCGTTCGTTAATTTTGATGTCAAAGATGAAAACTGACAATGAAAATTTAAGATCTCATATACCATAACTAAAAGATTTGAGAGTAAAATGTCACTATCTTAAAATTTAGGATCCGTTTAATTTACTAACTTAAACCCATAATTCTGATTTTGTTCTCTCATAAAAATTTAAATTAAAAAAATTCTTATTAAGGTGTTGTCTCATAAAATTTAAATTTAAAATTAAAATCACAGACTTGAGCCTATGAACAAAATAAACGCTTAGAGAGTAATAGTACCAATAACTTGAAAATTAATGGGTTATATACAAACAGTTGTCTCTGCTTTTTCTACTTTCAGCCAAAAAATAACAGACTTCAGCACAAATGACTCTATTTGAAGGATCTTTTTATAAATAGCCGAAGATTTCTAAAATTGTAAAAAAAATGACTATTTTTATTAACTTAATAGCCAATCACAGTGATTTAGCGGTCTATAACTAATTAACTGAACGGTCAATCACTGATTAACTTAACGGTCTATTAATGATTGACTTTAGTTTATCACTGATTAACTCGATAATTCTTCCTTACTAACCATATCAGTTAATAATTAATAAAAATCAATTAGTAATTTATCAATTTCAATTAACAAATTACAAATTTATTAATAATAAACTATTAAAAAATTAATAATAAATTTGTTAATTACTGATTGATTATGTATTAATCACTAATTAACTACGGTTAATAAATAATTGACTGTAGGTTAGACTAGGGGTGTAATTCGGCCGGGTAGGGTCGGATTGAGCCGACCCGCTCAGTGCGGGTTGAGAAAACTTTGTGCCGTAACACTCTCTTAAGCCCACAAACCCGCAACCTTTCGGGTGACCTCGGGTAGGGTCAAGTTACTCAGGTTGGTGAAAACCAATTTTAATCTATGACTTCATACCTCTTTTAACAATCCAAAAGCATAAAATCCATAAACAGTCCATAAGCATTAACATAATGTCAAACATACTTCTTAACAATCAATAAAGTTCAGAAATAAAATTAACAATATGTCAAATAAACATTCCATATAAAGATAGTTCAGTAAAATAGATTTACGGATTTAGGGTTACACACCTAAATCGGGTCGGGGCAAATCAGGTTCAAAATGCCCGTCCCGCTCCCCAACCCGCGCACAGTGCGGGTTGGGACTATTTGAAACCAAATTTAAAAAAAAAAAAACAAAAAACAAAGGGTGTGTTTGGAATTAGTTCCAAAATGTTTTTGTTTTCTGTATGAAAATAGAAATGAAAACGTTTTCATTTTCATTTTGAAATTATTTCTGAAATGTGTTTGGTAGTTTCATTCAGATATTGATTTCAGTTTTAAAAAAAACTAAAACTGCATTTGGTGGTTTAATTTTTGAAAACATGTAATAATATTTAAAATAATAATATATTAAATAAATAATATTATTAAATATATTAAATAATAATATATTAAATAAACATCATTATATAAGACAAAAACGGTTTCAAAAAAGAGAGAAGAAAATGAAAAAAAAAAAATGAAATCTATTTTCAGAAAATGAAAACGAGAAAATGAACACACATTTTTTTTGTTTTCAATTTTTCATAAAAGACAAAAACGGTTTTATTTTTGTTTTTAAAAAATTTTTAGGCCAAACGCATTTTCTGTTTCCATTTTTATTTTTTAGTCTCAAAAAACGTAAAAAATAGAAATAAAAAGAAAATAAACAGGGCCAAAAAACTCTACGCTTTCGGGTCAGATCGGATCAATCATGTCTGACGAAATTCGTTCGGATTTGGGCTCATTTCTTACGCCCCTAGGTTAGACACTAATAAACTCCTATAAACAAAAACTGCTCATTTCCGTAAAATAAAAGAAGTTGGTAGCATTTATGAAAAGAGGCTGTAAATCAATTTAGCTACTTTTTTCGACAAAAAAAAAAAAAAAAAACTCCGTCTTTCTATTTAGTGCGATCACCTGTATTAAGTCCTACTATTGTCTCACCCTTGAACAGCTCTAGAGCCCTTCCACGGCCACGCACTTCGTCTTCTCTTCTGAAAAGGCTCTTCGACCTCTGAAGATCGCCATTTGGTTGTCTCCGCGCTTAAGGTGGGCGTCCACCTCTTGCTTTACACCTTTCTTCAATAAATTTTCGTGTTTAACTTTCTTTGAGAAAATTTTCGCGTAAAAAAACTGTTAGATTCTGTGAAATTTGGTTTTCTTTTGTTTTTTCTTTTTCGATTTCTGAATATTGTAAAATCTTGCTCACTCGCACCTCGTTGAATCATCATTAATGGATTTTGGAGCAAAAAAAGAAAATCCTAATGAGTGTACTTTCATTCTCGCTATAATAAACTATTTATTTTCCCAAATTTCACTTATTTCAATGAAGACCGATAAAAGTTTTATTGGTTTGTCAAATCTGATGTACTATTTGATTATTGTAATTTTGTCGATTTTCTTTCTCATCGGTTTAGAGAAAATTTCGAACAAAAAAAATTTGTCAATTCTGTAGTTTTGGGTAGAACTTAAAGGTGGTAATTGATTCTTGATTGAATATTGCTCATACTAAGTCTATGTTTGGTAGTGATTCTTAAAGCTCAGAATTAATTTTCTAGCCATCCACAGCTGAAATTTGTATTTGATAAAAACTAAAAAAAGTGATTCTGAAAGAATTTTTGAAAAATTTACAATTAAAATAAAAAACAGTTCAAAAGTAATTTAACTTTTAGATTGTACGGTAATCACCTTGAACTATAATTAATAAAACTTTTATAATACTTATAATACTTCTGGAATCAATACTTGTATAATTACAGTTTACTAAATATTTAGTTATTTTTTGTATCAGCTAAATTTTTTTTCCAGCACAGTTAACATCAATTTTTTAAAAATCTATTGTACTACCAAACTGGCCTTAAGTCAGCTTAATTTTGTTTGATCTTTTTCGGTTCCACAATATTGACTTTATGTTTAGTTCAATTTTTGATGATGTAGCTCCAAACGATAACCAAAAATCACTCATTCCTATTTTGTTGTATGTAGATTTAGTCTGAGCCGCCAAGTAGCAAATGGCGGAGTTAATGGATTTTCCAAAGGAGCTGGTCGTGGAGATAATGTCATTTTTGCCCGCTGAGTCTTTGGTTCGATTTAAATGTGTTTGCAAGTTGTGGTATTCTATTATCAACGACCGAGGTTTTGTTGCGAAAAACCTTCGCAATGCCAATAAGATGTCATCCACAAAGTCACTGTGTCTCCGGCTATGGAAAGAAATTTGAAGAACTTGTAAACTCGTTTCTCACTATCTACGATGACGAAAAAAACGGTGAACTTGCTTATTCTGTTGCTGTAGATTCTGTGTCGCCATTTTTCTCCAGCAGCATACAGATGAGTACTTTCTAAGCTCTCAGTGTAATGGCGTCTTCTGTCTGTTGGGGAAACTGGACATTAATGATGTTATGTTATGCAATCCAACGACCAGAGAATTCAAGCTTCTTCAAGGTTCATGTTTTGGTGTTAAAACTGAGGGAATAATGTTCGGGTTTGGGTATGATCCCAGTGTTGATAGCTACAAAGTTGTTAGAGCTGTGCTTTTGTGCAGTGGACATGATCTTTCCTTGGGAGCTGAGGTATACACTTTGGGCACTAGTTCTTGGAGAGAGATCAAGTTCGACGTTACGTTATTGTTCTCTCAACTGCGGTCGCTCACTTCTAGCATGGCTTGTGGTCAAAATGTGCAACGGTACTACAAAGGAGCGTATTCGGGTTGACTGTAAATTTAAAAAAAAACGATCAGAACACGACACGTGACACGAATTACCACCCTTACAGGAGGATCAATTTTATAAGATATCATTGCCTAGTAACTTTGAAGGTGAACCAGAGGATATGCCGTTGTTCAGGAGCCTTGCGATATGGAATGAATCTGTTGCCTTGATTGAATTCTCTTATAGTGACATTACAAGACCGATTGACATCTGGGCCTGTTGCGGGTCTAGAGCTTCTTGTTGCTGGACCAAACAGGTAAGCATTGGTCCCCTAGAAAGCATTTTCGGGCCGATATTATTTTGGAAGGGTGATGAGCTTCTTGTGGGTGCTGACGATGGATATGTGGGTTACATACAACATACATGACAAAAGAGTTAGAAATCTTCCCATTACTCCTGGATCGCTAATGTGCAATTCTTGTGTTTATGTAAAGAGTTTAGTTTCCGTGCAGGGAGAGATTTGAAGGGCAAGATTTCTTGGAGGATTCATTCTAAAGACGGTTGCGGTGAACCTTTATCTCTCTGTTTTGTTCTTTATTTTCTTTTGGCTAAGAGATGAACTTCTATATTGTTGAATGGTTACCTTTATTTTTATAACCTCGTTCACTTTGCGGATTTGAGTTTTCAATTCGAGCTGAGATGTGATATTTTTTGAGAGTTTTTCACTGTAGTAAAAAAAAAAAAGGTTAAATATGACATTTTCTGAGAGCTTTTTACTGTAGAAACTTAAAACTGAAAACTCGAATCGGTGAAATGAACGATGCCATGTTCTATTGTGGATGTAAGTTGATGGAGATCATATCTTAATCAGTTTTGGTAGCTAGTTTTTATTGAATTAGGGATTTATGTTATTACGGTCCCGTTCATTTTATCGATTCGAGTTTAGAATTCGAGTTTTATTACAGTAAAAAGCTCTCAGAATCAGTCACATTTAACTTTTTTGCTACAGTAAAAAGCTCTCACGTAAAGTCACGTCTCAACTGGAATTAAAAATTCAAATCAGGGAACTGAACAGGCCCTACGTTTTGCAATGTTATCTTTGTTGTTTTTTCTTTTGTTTTGTTTTTTTGAAGGTAAATATGACAATTTTATTAAAAAATGCTACCAATGTTAAAGTATAAAACTATTATTGACTCACCTCCTAATATCTTAAGCTTTTGGGATGGATTTGTAAACTAATATGGTATCAGAGCGGAAGGTCTTGAGTTCAAATCCTCGTAATTACACTCTTTATTTCCATTTAAATTGTCATTAACAGTTGAAGCTTTTAGGATGGATTGATAAATTAACAACCAAAGCTATAGGAACCTGGTGTCACTCACAAGACTAGACATTATAAATGCACCTCTAATCTAATAACGGGGAGGACACCTCCCAAAAGTGGCTCTATAACATTTGGCTAAGGAAAATTGACTCAAAGTCAATCAGATTCTAGTCATGTATCACACATACATACATTCCTCATACTAGCAGCAGTGGGGAAGTCAATCGTTGGCTAAGGGAGAAAACACTACAGACTAAGAGGGTGGTTAAATAACAAAAAAAAAAAAAAACCTAGACATAACTTACACATGAGAGATCTGATTGGAGATGGTGTGAACACTACGAGCAAGCAACTCTCCTAAGTTTGTCCATGAGTTTACGTAGTCCATGATTGGTGAATACCCTTCAAAGATCATGTAAAACCACTGAGAAACTCATACTTTCACGGGCTAGATCTAACAAAACGCCACCTCCTTTGATTACACAGAGCCTATTATCTTGTAAATCGTCTTGTTGCGAGATCAAGATTGAGATTTTTATGGCCAAAGGTCCGGCAACGCGTCGAACCTCCAGCCAAAGAGAAATGTCCGACAAAAAAACTTAGAGAGAAGGAGAAAAAGTTTTAGAGAGAGCATGCCTTCGTTGTTTTTTCTTTTAAATTGATAAGATATTTAAAATTGAGAAAAACACGAATTTTATAGACAAAATTATTAAAGAACCTACTCTCAAAGTGTGCGTTTAGTTTTCTAGAATTGTTGCTACCCTTACTTTCGCCTAAATTATTAGCAGCATCCTAAACAAAACATGCTACGTCAATCCTAATTCAACTAAACCATAAAGTAAAAAGTAAAAAATAAAAATACTACATAGTATGGTGTGGCATGATATGATTTGGATAGCTTTTACAGTCAAGCGTTTATTTTGCTAACCAATAACTATACGAGCATTTTTAATAAGAGAGTTCAAACTCCAATTCAAATGGTTCTGTTATAATATTTTTCTTATAAATAAAAATTTTAATTTTAGTTCAAACAATCTCATAAATTAAAGAGGCGTTTTGATGCTTAATTATGTTAGAACTTCACTATTTTTTCCGTTAGTCAAATCTACAAACTACTATCATTTTAAGACAATATACTAGTTACATTCTATAAAAAAATTAATAATTATCAACCGTTAAATAGAATTATAAAAAAATTAAATTTCAATATATCTATGTTGGTAAGATAGAGATACAATCCTGTATCAAGAAGAACAAATTCAAGTGAAAAGGACATCATGCACCAAAAATAAAAAACCAAACCGAACCTTCAAACCACTCTCGTACAACACAAGTAAACGGTTAGGCTACCCACCAAACTCTCTACTTTAATTTCTTGCTTCGAAAAATTATTATAATATTTTTCTCTATTAAATTTACTATCTTACACCTCCAACTACCCCCATTCATTACTTTATTGCACCCAAAAAAAGAGATTCTTCGGTACACATATCTTAGTTTACCAGTAAAGAAAGTGAAAGGGAAATTGTAGAAAATATGTCAAAAGCTTAGTATATAGGTAAATTTTTAGTTATAGAAATTAATAGGTCATAACTTGACTTATGGTTTATAATTAAATAAGTTATGGATAAATTTGTCAAGTTATGATTCATAGTTAGACAAGTTATGGACAAAAATCGTGAATTATGGACAATAACTTGTCAAGTTATGATTCATAACTAGACAAGTTATGGACAAAGACAGTAATTTGACCTATTTATTAACTTATGTAAATTATTGACCTATTAATTTTAATTCATCTCAAATCTTGACATATTTCTCTCTTTCTCCTATTAAATTTTTTTAATTATTATATTTATGATTTCGTTTATTTTGTTATTTGAGTTTAAAATTTAAATTTTATTACAGTAAAAAATTCTTACAAACAGTCATATTTAATTTTTTTATTACAGTAAAAATCACATTTAAATTTGAATTAAAAACTCAAATAAGTGAATTTATTAATATATTACCGTACGGAGGAAGAAGGTAAAAAAAAAAAATTCTCCGGTAAAAAAGAAAAAACATTCCTGTCAGTATTTAAACGTTTTTTTTATTAATTATTTATTTAAAAGTTGAGAAGTGGTTACAACTACCTTCCAAACATTAATCATGAATCATGATGATGCACGTTTGCAACAAGACTTTTTTAGTGGACAGCCAATCGTGGGATGGACGTTTATTAATTATCCCACGTTAAAGTTTTGTCTTAATTTTAAATAAATAAATGGGATCTAATAAAATATATATGGCAGATATTCGAGAGAATAATTCAGATGACGTGGTCCTCATACATTACATCCCTTTTTATTAGTGCGTTCGTTCTTCTCCACTCACTCTATTTACTCACTGACGCTTCACCAGCCCTAGAGCCTCCCCCAATGGCTACGCAAATTTCTTGAAAGCGTTTGGATCTCTGACTCTGAAGGTAAGAAAACTTCGTTTATAACTTCTTTGAGAAAATTTTGGGTTGAAAAAAATGGCTACTTTGAAATGATATTGCAAAAGCTTGTTCTTGATCTCTCTTTTTTCTTTTTTTTTTGGCTGAAGTTGCAAAATATTTTCAATTGCACCTCTTGAATCCTCAATAATGTACTTTGATTATTGGATGTAATAAACTATTTATTTGCCCAAATTTTACTCTTTTCAATAAAGACCAACAAAAATTTGTCATATCTGGTGTATAATCATTCTTGGGTTGAAAAAAATGGTTATTTTGCAATAATATTATAGGTAGATCATATAAGTGTTTAGGACTATTTATAAACATACAATAAAGTGTTGGTGGATTCTGAAATTTGGTGCTTGTTTTTCCTCTTATTGCACCTCTCGAATCCTCAATAATGTACTTTGATTATTGGATGTAATAAACTATTTATTTGCCCAAATTTCACTTTTTTCAATAAAGACCAGCAAAAATTTGTCATATCTGTTGTATAATCATTCTTGGAACTGGTGAAGGAGGGAGCAATCTTTTTCTTTCTTTCTCAAAATAATCTTGTCAATATTCTTTCTCATGAGTGTTCAGAGAATTTCAAACAAAAATTTATTGCTAATTCTGTGGTTTTGGTCCTGGGAAGAACTGAAGAATAGTAAATGCTTTTTGTTTCTGATTAAATTTTGAATACACACGACTAGTTCAAATTAATTTTGTTAGATCTTTTTTGGTTCCACCATATTGACTCTTAACTTTAGCTTAATATTTGATAGTGTGGTCTAAAGCGGTAAACAAATTCACTCCTTCCCGTTTTGTTGTGTGTAGATTTAGTTTGGGCTGGGAAGTCGAAAATGGCGAAGTTCTTGGATTTGCCGATGGAGCTGGTGGTGGAGATAATGTCATTTTTGCCCGCTGAGTCTCTGGTTCGATTCAAGTGTGTCTGCAAGTTGTGGTATTCCATTATCAACGACCGAGGTTTTGTTGCGAAACACCTTCGCAATGCCACTAAGATCTCATCCACGAAGTCCTTGTGTTTCACTGGCTATGGCAAGGAATTTGAAGAACCGGTAAGCTCGTTTCTCACTATCTACGACGACGACAAAAACGGTGAACATGTTTATTCTGTTGTTGAAGATTCCCTGTCGCCGTTTTTCCAGCGGCATAGAGATGAGTACGTTGTAAGCTCTCAGTGCAATGGCATCTTTTGTCTATATGGGGAACAGATTACCAACAATGTTATCTTATGCAACCCAGCAACCAGAGAATTCAAGCTTCTTCCAGATTCGTGTTTTTGTGTTAAAACTTGCGGAATCATGTTTGGGTTTGGCTATGATCCTAGAGTTGATAGCTACAAAGTTGTTCGAGCTGTTCTTTTGGACTGTGGAGATAACCTCTCCTTACGAGCTGAAGTATGCACTGTAGGCTCTAGTTCCTGGAGAGAGATCAAGTTGAATTTTTCGTTATCTCAACTGGAGGTGCTCATTTTAAGTATTGCCTATGGTCGAAATGTTCACAAACAGCGGTACTGCAAAGGAGCCTGTTATTGGTTGCTGAGCCCTATGCGCTGCGAGGAGGAAACGATCATTCATTTCGACATGTTGAACGAGCAATTTTATAGGATATCGTTGCCTATTAACATCAATGGTGAACAAGAGGGGAGGTCATTGCACACGAGCCTTGCGATATGGAATGAATCGGTTGCTTTGTTTCGTTACTCCTATGATGATGTTACAAGGCCTATTGACATCTGGGTAATGCTTGACTCTTCTGGTGTGTCCAAAGCTTCTTGTTGCTGGACCAAACAGCTAAGCATTGGCCCCCTAGAAGGCATTTGCCGCCCAATATTGTTTTGGAAGACTGATGAGATCCTTATGAGCACTGACGATGGACGCGCGGTTTCTTACAACCTACATGCCAAAAGACTTGGAAATCTTCCCATCCCTCCTGGCTCGCTAATGTGCAATGCTTCTGTTTACATAAAGAGTTTGGTTTCTGTGCATGGAAGGATTTGAAGGGCAAGATTAGAGATGAACTAGTTTTATTATATAATGTTGAACGGTTCCCTTTGTATTTATATGCTTTATATTATGGATGTGTGGTTTCTTTATTCGTGGTTTTGTTTCCTAATTTGTATTTTCAATTCAAAGAATGATGTGTGGTACATGGATCAAACTTTTGGCCTTCACTTTCTGTTGTCTGTTGAGATTGTCTGATAAACAATCTGCTTCTATTTAGGATACTTGTTCTTCTCCCAAACTAATGAACTTATAAGGAATTTTGTTTTTGAAAGGAGTCTATCAGAGAATATTAGAGAAATTTGGAGAAGAAAGATTGATTATCTCTTTCAACTGAAAATTACAGAGTACAAAAGGAAGGATATGTTGTTGAGAGGAAATGCCCCAAAACGTGAACAAGTCCAGCTCAGTAATTAAGAAGATAAAAGAAAGAAGAAAATAAAGCAAAAATAGCTAAATAGTCCATAACTTTATGTATTTACAAAAGGATCCCAACTATTCTCATACTTCCCCTCAAGATGGAGAATGAATGTTATGAATCCCCATCTTGCCAAGTAAAGCATGAAATTGTCCAGAAAATAGAGGTTTTGTTAGCAAGTCTGCTAGCTGATGTTGCGAAGAAACATGTAGTGTCTTCAATACACAAGCTTGAATCTTCTCTCTAACAAAGTGGCAATCACTTTCTATGTGTTTTGTACGCTCATGAAAAACAAGATTGGCCGCTATATGCAATGTTACTTGGTTATCACATAACAATTTATGATGATCCACATGAAGATTCTTAAGAAGGGAGAGCAGTCATAAAAAACTATAATCTATTATATGAAAAAGAGAGTTTCTTTGATAAAACCAGAAAAAATTAACTATCATTAGTTATTTACTTTTCAATTATCAAATTTTTATTATAAACTATATGTTCTACACACCTGATTTTAACCTAATTTAACAGTTAGAAACTGACACTACCAATAGAGAAACTTACCAAAGAAAATTCCTATGAAAAAAACTAAATTTCCATAAATAAAAAAAGACATTAAAAACCAAATTTAATTTGGTCAATGGGCACTTAATTTGCGCAAAGGACCTTAACAACAACGTTTTTAACAACACCTATCAATCACGTGACCTTTCGTGCTACATTTCATTCATTTTGTGACGATTCTTTCATTGAGGTACTATCAATTCAATGTTTGTTGAACTCAAACTATGAAAAACAAATTTAATTTCCTTGACGTTTGGTTCATGAATTAGAATCATATAATTAGAACTATTTTTAATTTACGTGTATTTTTTTGAGAGAAAACACTGTAGCGAATCATGAATCATGATTCAAATCATGAATCATGATGGTTTGAATCCTCCAACTAAACATCAACACAAAAATAGGTGTAAGTTTTACACCACACGAGCTAGATCATTCGCGTAATAAATTCGAGTCCTACCGATATCCTCAAAAGGGAGTAACACTAGAAAAAATTCCTAATTTTTTATGTACTCCAATACATAATCTTATTTAAAATACTAAAATTTAATTTTTCCTATAATTATTAAGGTTTAAAAGTTATAAAAGTAAACTTTTAATTTTTTTTAAAAAAGTTATAATAATTAAATAAATAATATATCAACCAATAGAAATAAATGTAAAATTTGTCATATACTACACT